CGCCCGTGTCACTGCTGCTACCGCCTGTGTCACTGTAACCACCACCTGTGTCACTGTTAGGGGTGGGCACGGTCCGGGACGGTCCGGGATTTTTCTTATCCCATTCCCATCCCGGTTTTATAACAACGGTTCGGTACGGTATGGTATAAGTCTTTATCCCAATGTTATCCCGTTTAAAACGGGATCGGGACAACCCAAGAAAAACCGAGACGGTTCGGGATGTCCCATAAAATATGCATTTGTGAAATGTGATATAAAATAAGCATAACATCAAAATAAAGACATAACTATTTTTGCAAATTTAGTTTCCCTAAAAAGTTAAGTAAAACCTTTAATTAACTATTTTTAATTTTTGTCTTGTAATTTTTGTCCCCCTAATCTTGTGTTTTCTTTAGTAGAATAGTAGTGCAAAATATTTTTATACTTTGTAGTACACTTGTAATTTTTCAATACGACATTAAATTAAATAACATATCTATAAAGACTATATATTTTTATACTTTGTAGTACACAAATGTTCAGGTCAGGAGTTCCTGACCGGAACTGCCGTCCGGACCGCAGCGTTTGGCTGCCTTCCGGGTGGAATTTTTTAATGAAATTTTTATCACATGTTCTCCATCAAGTCTAGTTTATCCACACAAAAATTCAGCCAAAAACTCAATCGGGAAGGTCGTCAAATAATTTTTGCAAGTTAACTGGTCCAGAATATGTATTTTCCGGACCAGTTAACTTGCAAAAATCATTTGACGACCTTCCCGATTGAGTTTTTGGCGGAATTTTTGTGTGGATAAACTAGACTTGATGGAGAACATGTCATAAAAATTTCATCAAAAAAGCCACCGGGAAGGCGGCCAAACGCCGCGGTCCGGACGGCGGTTCCGGTTAGGAACTCCTGACCGGATCATTACTCATATATATATATATATATATATATATATATATATATATATATATATATATATATAGAGAGAGAGAGAGAGAGAGAGAGAGAGAGAGAGAGAGAGAGAGAGAAAACTTCATGTCAGGCCGGCCTGACGGGCTGACCCGTCCGGCCAAGCCCGTTTGGGCACCTTCCCGGTGGAATTTTTTGATGAAATTTTTTGAGCATGTTCCTCATCAAGTCTAGTTTGTCCATACCAAATTTCAGCTCAAAATTCGACCGGGAAGGTCGTCAAATGATTTTTGCAAGTTAACTGGTCCGGAATATGTATTTTCCGGACCAGTTAACTTGCAAAAATCATTTTATGACCTTCCCGATCTAATTTTGAGCTGAAATTTGGTATGGACAAACTAGACTTGACGAGGAACATGCTCAAAAAATTTCATCAAAAAATTCCACCGGGAAGGTGCCCAAACGGGCTCGGCCGGACGGGGCAGCCCGTCAGGCCGGCCTGACATGAAGAGCACTCTCTCTCTCTCTCTCTCTCTCTCTATATATATATATATATATATATATATATATATATATATTCTAGTAGTTATTTTGGAAAATATTAAATCTATAACAAGACTATAATTTGCAGTAGTAGTTATTCCATCATAAACAGTATTCTGCACGTAATAATATATTATGGTTTAGTATTGGAATGAGAACTAAACAAATTTTAATCAAAAGAAACAAAAGAAATGAGACTAAGAGAGACATGAAATAAAATAAAATTACACTAGAGAGACTAAGGACTAGAAAATTTTAATTGAGTTTGACTATTACATAACATTAGAAATTTAAAATAACATATTAATTTCAAACGCGACAACGGGACGCGACATGATATTTTATAGCTATCCTGGTCCCGTCCCGGTTAATATCGGTGCGGGACCGGATCGGGATGAAAAAATTGTGTCCTAAATGGATCGGGATAATTTCGGAACGGTATCGGGATTTTTTCGGTTTGGGACATCGGGACCGGGATTTTTGCCCACCCCTAATCACTGTAGCCACCACTCGTGTCACTGCGGCCACCGCCTGTGTCACTACGGCCATCGCCTGTGTCACTGCGGCCATCGCCATTATCGGCCACAGTGACTTATATGCAGTGACATCTAGTCTCCATCGCCCATATCACTGCCACCACTGCACCGACAAACCCGCAGTGACATCCCACAGTGACAAACGCCGACCAGCTATTCCGGCCATCACCATCAGTACTGTCTCCCCATACGCAGCCTACTTCCACTGCCCTCCCCATCCCACGCCCAGCACCGGAAAATCCCCATCCCAACGCCCAGCACCGGAAAACCCCCATCCCAAACACAGAGCACCGGAAAACCCTCATCTCAACGCCCTAGCACCGGAAAATCCCCATCCCATCGTCGTAGATTTGGCCGAACGTGATAATCCAACAGATCTGGGCTTAGATTTTCGTTGCTCCGGTACATGAGCTCCAGTACACGACGGATCTGCCTTAACATGAGCTACAATACCTGCGACGACCAAACTCCGGATGAAGACGGATTCGGCACCGGCGGCCTTAAATTGAAATCTTCGCCCATCGAGAACGACAGTTCTAATGGAGGAGAGGCCATCGAGGCCGACGGAGAAGGTGGTCGGCTTCAGTTGCAGACGACGGAAGAAGAAATGAGAAGGAGAAGATTTGTAGCAAGGCGGCGACGGAAGAAGAAACGAAGAACGGGAGCGGCGGCGGAAGAACGGATGTGGCGGCAGAAGAACGGCAGGGAGAATTGCTGGAAGAAATCGGTACTCCGTCTGGTGGAAGAATTGCTAGAGGAAGAAGATGATGGGAACGATTGTAGAGGCGATTAGGCGAAGCGTAGGAGAGAGAGCCAGATGCGTGACGGGATGCAGATGAGTTTTTAGTTAAGTCACTTTTTGGTCAAAATTTAAATTACTCATATTTTTATCCATCAAAACATTTTTTTGAAAGGGTCTATCAAAACATTATGAGTAATATTTTTCCAATTGTTTCTTAAAAAATATGATTGTGGTTAGGGGTGAGTTCGGTTCTTGCGGTTCGATTTTGACCTAAACCAAATATAGAATCAAAGTAAAAAGTTCGGTTCGATTTCGGTTTGGTTTTACACTCCAAAACTTGGAACCACGGTTTGATTGGTTCAGTTTGTTTCGGTTTGGTTTCGGTTTTTTCGGTTTTTTACCAAAAAATTATCATTTGATTCAAAATTGATATAATACTTAGAGTGATCAAACATATTACATAAAGAATGCAAGCACAATACAATGACAAATAAAATAAAAATGAGAAAAGGTAAATATGTCTTGAATTATATGAGTATGCGAGATAAATAAAACTGGATATATTATAGATTTAATTTGTTTGTGAGTTGTTCGAAAAAAGTTCATGAATATATACATTCTATACTTCTATGTGATATAGTTGAGATGAATATTTATTGTTTTATCAATATAAAATCTTTAAGTTATCTAAAAAAAGTTAATTACTACGAATAACTAGTAAACACATATTATTATCATCATTCAATATAGCTACATTATTACAGACAATGAATGTGTAAATGAATTTATAAACTAAATTAAATTAAACATAACACAAACATTATTTTTCTAACACAAAAAAACCAAAGACTAATGATGATATTAAGATTAATTAGAATTAATCCTTAACAATTAAATTATAAATTTCATATTTTAAATAGTTCGGTTTGTTCGGTTCGGTTTTGAAGGGTAAAAACCAAAATCAAACCAAATAACTTCGATTCGGTTCGATTCAGTTTTTTACAATCGGTTTCGGTTTCTTAACGGTTCGATTTTATTTGATTGAGGTTCGATTTAATTTGATTCAGTTTTCGGTTTTCGTTTTTCGGACCCGGCCGTAATTGTGGTGGGAATTGGGGTGGGGATATAATTTACGCCGTGATGACGGGATTTGGACATTCCAACAAGAAAACCTACCTTTCTCAATATCACAAACACATGCAAACAAAGAGTCATGACCTGCCCACAAATTGGAGAAAAGAAAAATCGAGAGAAATTTAGATCAAGATCAAAACCCTAACCCAAACCCGCGATTCAAGGTTTCGTCCATTCCAGTAATAGAAGCAGATTCTTAGATTTCAAAGAACGAAAAACAGCTACGTCGTACAAAAAAATCGACAATCCCTCTAACCTAGGTTTCCCCATGCACAATCATACCTTTCCAATCTCACACCTTAACTTTCTTCTTTCTCCCTTTCCATTGCCCTGAAATTATCCTTTTCACTATTGGTAATTATTACTCAATCCATTGTATCGAATATTTAATTCCTACACCATAATAAATCCTTACGCTCTCTGAGTTTTTTTCAAGTTTTGCATGTGTTATTTAGCCTATGGTGATTTCGAGTTTAATGTTATTCATATTCATTTCTCAATCTCGAATCTCCCTGCTTTGATAGAAGAAGGCATTCTATTTTGGCGGGGGAATTGGGACTTTAGATCACATTTCAAGATTCAGTTCAACTGACTGGTAGCATAGCAGAATATAATATAAAGATATTAGGGGAGGTAATTTACAGCAATGGGGAACAACTGTGCCCATGGAAAAATATCCGGGAAGGGATTCGATTCAGTCTTTTGGTGGTTCAGAATACCAAATAAGCTAAAAGTCAAGAAAAAGGTGATAAGTAATAATGGAGATGCTAATAGAGAACCAGTAGGTGACATTGCTTCAGTTCAGACCAACCCCCCAGAGATTGAGCAGATAGAGAAAGGGGATAATCAGCATAGATCTAAAGGGCCAGAACATATTATGACAGGGAAGGAAGGGAAAAATGCAGGCTCAAAACAGGATGATAACAATGAGAAACCTGTCGAGCCTTCAAAACCTCGAAAACCGCTTAATACCAAGAGAATGCTTAGTGCGGGTCTCCAGGTTGATTCAGTGTTAAAGACCAAAACTGGAAACCTAAAAGACTATTTTACTTTGGAGGAGAAACTTGGGCATGGCCAATTTGGCACCACTTTTCTTTGTACTGAGAAGGCAACCGGGCTAAGATACGCTTGTAAATCCATAGCAAAGAGGAAGCTGTTGACAAGGGAAGACGTTGATGATGTCAGGAGAGAGATTGAGATCATGCATCACTTGGCAGGCCATCCTAACGTTGTTTCCATCAAAGGGTCTTATGAGGATGCTGTGGCGGTTCACGTTGTGATGGAGCTGTGTGCTGGTGGGGAGCTATTTGATAGGATCGTCAAGAGAGGCCATTACTCTGAGCGGCAGGCTGCTGGACTCGCTAGGACGATAGTTGGGGTTGTTGAGGCATGCCACTCCCTTGGTGTCATGCATCGTGACCTTAAGCCCGAGAATTTCCTCTTTGTCAATGAGAAGGAGGATTCACCTCTTAAAACAATCGATTTTGGGTTATCCACGTTCTTCAAACCTGGTAAGTGTTTCTTATTTGGAAGCTTTCTGATAAGTAGTACTACTTCCATCTACAAAAAAAGATTCTTGTTTCACCATGGTAATTTTTTTTACTAAAGTCATTTAATTGAAATCATAACTCTAGCTAATCTCTTGAACTTCGATTTGTTCGTTATTTAATTTAGCATACCTAACTTGTTTGACTATCTTTTTTGGCAAATTCTTTAAAGAATTTGTTTTTTTTTATTACAGTGTAGTCTTCTTTGGTACATAAAATTGTGTTTGAAACAAGGAACTTCTTTATGGGGATGGGGGGGGGTATATTATAATCATGTTCTCATAAATAAAACAGGTTCTTGAAATTTTAAGTTCTTATCAAGCATTCAAGGTTCTCATTCTGCATTGGATCTTTGAACATATGTGGTTCAGTGATGGTAGATGTGGTTCTGTTATTGTCCATTGGGAAGTATAATTTGGAAATAAAGTAATGTTAGATTGCTGATTATCCAGTGCATACAAAAGGAAATAATTGTATGCAGTATTTTAAGATTAAATGTCATCTTTGAATGTTTTCAGTAAATTAGGCATATAATTTATCATTGTTGCTCTCACATTCTGTGTTCTTGAATTTAGTATACCTTATTAATGTTTTTTTAAGTTCTGAAACATAGGGGATGTTTTCAATGATGTTGTTGGAAGTCCTTATTATGTTGCACCAGAAGTATTGCTCAAGAGTTATGGTCAAGAAGCTGATATCTGGAGTGCAGGTGTGATCATCTACATTCTCCTTAGCGGGGTGCCTCCTTTCTGGGGAGGTAAAGTCTGTCCTTGTGTTGTATTTTGTTAAAACATCATCTATCCAATATATGTTTATGTACATTTAGGCTCTATTTGGCAGTCTCATAGAATTTGAACACTTTTCCTTTCATAAAATTCACCAGATCAAGCTGCCAAATAACCCTTAGTAAACGAGCTCTTTGTATGTAAATACATTTGATTATATACGTTGCATAAGGTGCCTGATTCCCTGATGTGTTCCCTAAAATTTCACGCATCAGATGTGAATGCTGTTTTACTTAATTTGTTTGATGCAGAAACTGAGCAAGAAATATTTGAAGAGGTGCTGCATGCTGACATTGATTTCAAATCAGAGCCATGGCCTCACATTTCTGACAGTGCTAAAGATCTAGTAACAAAAATGCTTGTAAGAGACCCCAAAAAACGGCTATCTGCTCATGAAGTTCTGTGTAAGTTCAAATTTTGCCACCTGGATGATAAAAACCAAATTTATATATTGCTGGTTTAAACTATATCACCTACACCTAAATTATCGCAGGCCACCCTTGGGTACAGATTGATGGGGTGGCTCCAGATAAGCCTCTTGATTCTGCTGTTTTGACGCGGTTAACACAATTTTCTGCGATGAACAAACTCAAGAAAATGGCTCTCAGGGTAAGATATTTTTACTTTGAGCATAACTGTTGAATAATAAACCACATACTACTTTTATTGATTTTGCAATATCTTTTAACTCGGTTAACCTAGTATTCATATTGGGACTAACCCCAATGTGTGTAGGAACTAGGAAGCTAAACTCTAAATCTGATTGAGAATAGGAAACTATAATACTACTAAAACTATTATTAGTATAGTACTATAGCTATTAGTGTCTAACTTTCACACGGTTACATGCTTTTTTATTTAATGAAGTCACTTTTTTCTTTACCAACCTAAAACTACAGGTTATTGCGGAGAGGCTTTCTGAAGAGGAAATTGCTGGATTAAGGGAAATGTTCAAAATGATAGATATAGATGGGAGTGGTCATATCACCTTTGAAGAATTGAAGGTCGGGTTAAAAAGATTCGGTGCAGATCTTAATGAGTCTGAAATACATGATCTTATGAAGGCCGTAAGCATATATTTTAATGGTTTTATATATACATATGTATATGTATTCTTTGTTGGATTCTTCATCGTTTTCTTCTTTTTTGTCTAATTATATTATTCTGCTGTATTTCTATTGAGAATTCAGGCAGACGTAGACAACAGTGGTACTATTGACTATGGAGAGTTCATAGCCGCAATGTTGCATATTAATAAAATCACTAAGGAGGACCATTTGTTTGCTGCATTTTCTTATTTTGATAAAGACGGAAGTGGGTATATCACAGCTGATGAGCTTCAAAAAGCTTGTGACGAGTTTGGCATAAAAAATCCTCATTTAGAAGAAATGATTCAGGAAGCAGATCAAAACAATGTAAGTCCAATCCTCTACACTCGATTGTTTGACAGTATTTGCATTGTAAATTTCATGTCACGGACCCCACCATAGTTTGGATTGATGAAGGTGATGAATGATGATAACCAAAGTATCATAGTAGCATAGTCCGTTTTGTTTCACATTACATTTAAATAAACGTGTTTATGTTTAGCAGACTTGTCTTCGATATATGATACAGAGTACATAGTATATATCAATTACTAAGTTAAGATAAGATTTTTTAAGAAATGGAGTACAATTTTTTATAAGCCATGTCAAGATCATAGCAATATAGCATGCATTTGAAAACAACGAAAGAAAGACATATCCGTCTGCAGTGGTTTTTGAAATTCTGTTTCCGTTTCCAGAACTGAGAAACCTTTATATTGTTCTGTTTATTAAATGTCTACCTCCACAAGAAAATAGTACAGAAAATAGGAGTGTGGTTAAACGACAATATTGTTCATGCCAAATCATTTTATCTTTCAGGATGGTCGCATTGATTACAGCGAGTTTGTGTCTATGATGCAAAAAGGAGCCATAAATTTAGGTAAGAGACAATATCTTGGTGGTTTCTTTTCATTGTAATTCCAAACTTCTTCACATGATTCTGAACGAAGACAATCTTTTTAAGCAGGTTGATAAACATCCCAAGAGATTCAAAGTGTATGAAGACAATACAACAAGCCAATGCACGATCAACTTTGAAGGTGGAATATGGGAGGGGGATTGCTTTGTCTCTCATTGTGGAAAAAGGATCAAAGGGCGACTTCATGGGACTACGTCAGTGATGATGATTGAGGAAGAGGCATAGCATCAGCCTTGAAATGTCATACAAAGGAAAGAATGTTAAAAGCAAATATCTTTTTCTTATAATTATATTTTGGAAGGCTTAGGGTATATGCATAATTGCATATCAGAATTGCTCAGTGCTTGTACTCTCTAAAAGAAAGACACAATCCGGATGTATGTTTATATATTACGGAGTAATATAGTAGTAAAAGAAAGTATATAGACATGCCAAAGAAGTTGGAGATGTATTTGCATTCACAAGCTGAGAATGCACACTTTCATAGAGGCTAAAAACATATCTCACACCTGGTCCACCACCCATGTTCTGCTGTTTAGAAACAAGTAAGAAATATGTCTGGTTTCTTTTTTTCTTTTTTGGCACACCAAAATGTAAGCCAAGACGAGCTTAAATAATACGCCACAAATAGGAACACAAAAAATTGAAGTGGGTAATTACAATTGTGGCTATAAAAAGACAAGACAGAGAGCAAGACGAGAATCTGTGTTGCATCTTTCCCCCTTCACCCATCTTTTCCTTTTAGAAGACCGTCAACATAGTTGACCTAAACCTGCAAATATATTATTCTCAGCTGTGTTGTGTTAAAAAATTCTTGATCACCCAATATTATTTTTTATATGTAGACTCACCACAGCATTTTCCATCATTTGCAATGGAGCCAAAGATTCATTATTTTTTTGTTTGATAATATGATGGAATAAAGCAAAAATGGTTCACTAAACTGTCTGCGCTTCTTTGTTATGAAGCAGCAGTCAGTCCATGCAATTTTGGACGCGATTTTCACTATGGGTCATCCGGAAACAGTCTCTCTGTGCTTTAGTACTGGAGTAAGACTGCGTACATCTGATCCCCCTTACCCCACTGTAGGTGGGAGCCTTTGCGGCACTGGGATAAATGAAAATGAAAATGAAAGACTCACCACAGCAGATTCCAGGTCCTTTTGTTCACTAATTTTCAATGTATTACTTCAAGAACAGGCTGCGGCTAGGCCAAGAGACCCAAACATGGTACAAGCTACCTCCATCAACTTTCCTGCTAACAAACATGAGTCTCATACGTTTAGCCGATGAATGAAAATATACAGAGGAAAGTGTGAACGAATACACTGAATCACAATAACATGTTAGAATCTCTATTACCAAAAAATTAGCAAAATATTACTCCTGCAATTTCTACAGACTAAAAAAACTAAGTTTACACGTTTCTAATAAATTCACCGAGTAAGCTCAAAACTCTAAGCATATCCCAATTTTTCTTTGTCACCTATCTCCAATGTTAAAAGCACTTGAAATCGCCCGCCGGTCACAGTGACATGTGGAGGGGTGTTTTATTAAGGACAATGATGTTTCTTGGCTGCACTGGTGTATTAAAAATGACATATATATTCATATTTGTTTGAAAAAATTTAAAAGTTGTTATATTTTAATCTTTAGTTTTCCTTTAATTCTTTGGTGAGAGTAGTGTTTTGTTGAAATAACAAACTAGGTTGAATAATTACTTGAGTAGTTTAGTGTGATAATAGTGGAATGCGTTGAATGACCTAAAATCGTATATATGTACTTGATCTAAAATTAGTAAACTCAAAGAAACAGTATATTTAAACGAAACAAGTAAAATGTGGTTGCTTTCATTTTAGACACCTTAGGTGAAAAAATAAGTTCTTGGTCGTTTTTCATTATCTCCAACCCATACAATAAGGATACAATAAGGAAGTGTTTGGTCAATACATCTAAAGTCAAATAATTTGGAAATTGTAGATTAATCAACATTCAAACTAGTTACACATCTAATGATTTGAGTGTGGAAAAAGAAGGTGAAGAAGAGGAGAAGAAAGGAGGAATAAGAGGACGGCTCACTAAAGAAATCAATGTATGGGTGCACTAAGCTAGGAATAAATAAAGATAGATTGGGTGGCAAAAAGTCGCAGGCTGGAATCTTTGTGTATTTTTTTGGCATAATGAGTTGTTGAAAGTTAAGTTATTGTCTAAATTAGGGATTGTTATCTGAACTAGAGACTATTATCTAGATCTATGCCGAATTTTAACTCCTAGTCTAATGAAATAGACCCAACTATGTTTGGAGTTACACTTCAGCTCATAATTAATGGGCTGAAATTTCATATTTTCAGCTAATAATTATTCATGTAGCCTTGTTTGTTTAAAAGGATGAAGGATTTTGAAGCTTAAAATAATGGGCTGAATCAAAACGCTAAAGGGATCAATAATGGGCTGAATCCAAACAAGTAATACTCCTCCGTCCCATAAAATTTGATCAAACTACATAAAATAATAAGGAAAATAACTTTAAATAATACAAATAATCTTCCATGAATCAAGAATAATACGTACTTTGGAAATATGTTTTAATAATACCAACTATTTAAATATAGACCAAAAGTGATACATCGCCATTTTTATTATTAATTCAACCATTTAACTCATCAAAAACTAGTACGGAGTTCCAAAATATTTAATAAGTGAATGTATTTTCAAATATCATTTATTTAATGGGTTGCTAGTTTTTGATGCCTTAAGGGTCTATTTGCTACAGCTTCTGCTTTAAAAAAAGTGTTTTTTTAATGAAATATGGAGAAATGATTAAATAAAAAATGATAGTGTTTGAGAAAAAAGTGATTTTGAAAAGTAAAAATTTGATAGTGTTTGGTAAAATAAGTGTTTTTTGTGTAACAGAAAAAGTAAAAGCACTTTTGACACGAAAGTCGAGAAAAATAAAAATTAATAATCTATTCAATTTCTTATATAAAAGTAAAAGAAATTTGATGCACAGTTTTCCCGCCCAAGCGTCAACTTCCGTCTTTATTTTTTAATTCATCAAAAGAATAATTGAAGAAATGTATTGCCACCATATGAGTTCGGCCGGCACTTCAAAATCTGTGGAAAAGCCAATCCTATTGGCTGAGGATTGAGGTGCGCACAGTAAAACAAAATTTTTTATGGCTCCTATTGGTCCAAATTAAAGGGTGGTGGCTACTGTTCACAATAAATTGTGATTTGATGTTGGCTGAGGCTAAGGCTTGCTTGCTTCGTATTGGCCGAAAAGGCCGGTGAAACTGTAAATGGGTATGTACATGCTATTCTTGGCATTGGTATAATGGTATGTAAATGTTCCACTATAAAAGCACAAACTCCAGCAGCAAGTTTTTCACATCCGCTTTTACGAACTGCTTCCTGCTATATCTAGGTTCCCCCAACTTATGTATATAGTCTGGATCTAGCGCTATTACAAGGAATTGTTCATTCGAAAAGACACAGCCAACATATACTATACCGAAGAGAAGTTTTCACTTTCTCCGCCTTTCTCACTGCCGACACCTTCACCGGAACCACTACCGTATGCCGTCACTACTGTCATTATGAATTCTGCAGTTGGTTCTTTGTCATGACCGACGTTGGTCAAACTGTAGTTATACGGCGTACTTGAGATTATAATTTTGACTGATGAAGTATTGAATTGAAGGTTGATTGTTGTTTAAAAAGTTGAACGTATGACATCCTTAAGTTAATACTATTAGTGATATGGAGGATTTAAGTGGTTTTTTGGGAAGAGTGTTTTAGTTATTTAGTGTAAGAAAATGTTTTTTGCACTGTAAATTTGTACTGTTGTTAATTTTATTCGAAATTTGAGTATTTGTATTACAAATGTATTAATGTACTCCTAAGTAATTAGTGTTCTTATTCTGTTTTAATGAAAAGAATGAGTTTGCATATTAAAGAAAAAAGAAAAGAATGATTTTGCAGATTAAAGAAAAAAGAAAAGAATTGCACTCTTTTCTGTTATAATTAAAAGCACTCTTATTTTGTTATAATGAAAAAAAAATTAGCTTGCAGATTAAAGAAAAAAGAAACGATAGTTAACTATGTAAAGCATAGTTAACATTTAGTTTAAATATTCAAAATATAATATTTACTTCAAATACTACACTAAAGTTTAATATGTAAAGCATATTTTACTTAAATATTTAAGATACTTAACATTTAGTTTAAATATTCAAAATATAATATTTACTTCAAATACTACACTAAAGTTAAAAATTACTTGAAATATAATTTTGGCTTCTTACATGTTCTGATGTTCAGGAATTATATCAAAGGGCCTTTAGACGGTATGGGTGTCAAGAATTACCTAATTCTAGAAACACCCATCTCGATCAAATTCATATCTAGCGATCAAAATTGCACAAATCACACTAACAAATTAATGTGAATTTTCGTGTAATTGTCTCCAAAAAAGTATGCACAGCTGTTGGCAAGAATGCAAGAAATACATAAAGCACAAAAATGAAAATTCACACAAGGGAAAAACACACATACCGTCTAAAGGTCCTTTGATATAAAATGTGTATATCTCTTTTAGACCAAGTGAAGTGGGCCGCCTTCTTAGTATATTAATTAGGCCATTTGTAACGAAAAACATGTGTGGTCTCATCAAAGATTTGTGTACTAACATTTTGACAAGAGAAGTGACACGAGTATTAAGAAAAGTGAGTTTATGTGGTTGTTATTGAATTACTACGTAATAAATTGAAAATATAGTAAGAATGATGTAGCACCATTCAAAATCTTAACAAGTTTGGTATGTGACAATTTTAGTGCGCTTTTCAAATCGAGAGGATAAAATAAGACAATTTTATCGGGACAAAGAGATGAGAGTATCTTATAAGACACATTATTATTAGTTGTAAATATGACAATTAACTCTTTTGAAAAATGTTGTTGAATTTATCTCATTATAATTTTTTTAAATTATTCACCAATAAAGAAATAAATGCAAAGACAATCAAAGTTGTACATTGACAATTGAGAAAATAAAAATATTGCAACTAAAAAGAATGAATGAAAGTTGATAAATATACACAGTGATTTGAAAACTAATCGACATAGAATTTTTAAAGTAAAAAGAAAAAAGAAATTTAGCAGTCATTATTTCGATTGCTTCAATTGTTTTTAAAAAACATTTGATAATTTGTTCTGTGGAAATGATGTTGATAAACATACAGTAATAAGTAAATATATAAGGACGAATATATGATTGAGATAAAGGTAATGAACAAAAATATTATTTCATACTTTTTATACTATTATTACCATAATAAATTTATTCAACTCTATGCTATAATTAATAACAGTATATAGTAACTGTAATAATATTTTTCCATGTGTTCTACTACATATTTCCTTAATACTTGGGGGAAACTTCATAAATAGAACCAATGGTTGGTGTAAAATGTAAGATCTAACAAGTATTACAAATGTTATGTAAGAGTATAAGACGAGTGGGTGAAGACCTATAATGTTATACCATGGCATCGTTTGTTTCCTAGCGGATTGGTACCCACCCGCTGCAAAAAGCAGCGTTTCCAAGTATAAAAAAATTAGCGGTTTGGCTAATCCGCTGCCTTTCCAAACGCAGCCCATATGTATCAAATGTATTTTACATTTGACTTTATTTTTCTCTGCATTACAATTGTATTTAAATGATTGTTACTATTTAGTTTATGTTGTCTCAGACTCTCATTACCTAATTCTATACCATATATTAGAATTTAATTCTATCATTTTATTACCTTCTAATTATAAATATTATTATTAAATTTGAAAATATTTCATCCGTGCATCGCACGGGTGATATACTAGTAAGGACATAGTAGGAACAATGAAAAATATGTGATTGTATTTAGTAAAAAGGGGCTGTCAATAGAATTTCCCTTAATAAAAGAGGTTGTGTTTCCTGGGCTTTACTCATAGTTGATGGGCTACTCATTCCTGGTCCGTTTTAATATATGGTTACAATATACACACAGTGACAAAACACTCACAAATGTGTTACTTTTATTTGTTTAAAAAATCTCTGTAGTGATTGAGACTTATAGTTAAGGACATTAACTTTAAATAATACGGATTACGGAGGACCAATGTTGATCAATACACCAATAATAATAAAATACTTACAAATAATTACACCAGGGTCGGTCCTGACAATTTATGGGCTCGACACAAAAGACAAAAAATAGGCCCCTAATTATATATGGTGTAAGAATGTATTACAAAAGTTTCTTTGTTAAAAATAAAATTTGTTACACAAGTAAATGTTTTGTCCATAGAACTACTCGATATCATAAGTCATACGAAACAACTTTTGGCATTCTTAGAATCAAAATTGTCAATAACACTCAATTTTTAATTCTCGACTTCAGTGAGGAAGATAGAATGTTATCTGGTAGTGCTTCATGAGATGCTTTGCCGTTGTGGTTAAGTCTGTGGATATGAGGGTTGAATGATATCTCTTCTGAAGAATTAGAGTGTAGGGAAATGATTTGGTCAGTAGCGGCCGACAAGATGTCCCGTACTAACAAGTCCTTTTGAAGAGATTTCAGGTCGGATTTATTGATAAAATTTTGTGAGAATGTTCTTCATAAAAATTAGAATATTTATACGAAAATTCAGTTTCGAATTCAATCGGGAAGTTAGTTAAATAAATTGTTGAAAAACACTGCACTTTTAAACATATATAAAGCGCACTGTTTTTCAATAATTTATTTAACGATCTTCCTGATTGAATTTTAAGCTGAAATTTTATGGACGTAATCCACACTTAATGAAAACGATGCTCACAAACTTTCATTAAATAATTTCATTTGGGAGCACCACGAATAGACTTGGCTGTACATAACTCCCCATCAAGCGCGCTTGAGGTGAACGAGACTCAATATACATATATTACTACTAAATAAGTTATAAGCCCCTCTTTCTGATGGGCCCTGGGCAGTTGCCTATCTTGCCCCTATATCAGGACCAGCCCTTGATGTGACAATTAATAATAAGTTGTATGACTAAAGTTATTATCGTAGTCACTATACTTAAGAGATCATATTTTTGTATATAATCTTTATTTTAGTCATCAAGATTATGTAATTATTTCAAAAGGATTATATGCATATATAAATACCTAAATTTGTCCTCTACAATAGTGGATGACCTATTAGAATATTTTAGCATAAATTTATATTTAAGCAGAGTTTAAGAATGACATAACATATTTTCACATATTTTCACACCCTCTGATTTGCCAGTTTACAAAAGCAATTCGTCTAACTAATACAATTCGTATAGATGTAAAGCCACCCTATTACTTAAATATTATAAATAATTTTCCCTCATCGTAACTAAAATTTGTAAACCTTTGAATGTGGAAAAATTCTTTGCTAAAATTTTACTTGAAGAAAGGAATTTAACAAGGGTTAGTGTGAGACAAAATGGTGTTAATTTTTCAAGCATTCATGAACACCTCTACGTATTAGCTTGCCATTCCAATGTACTATGTATTTTGGATGTAATAATACTCAAACATGACTTATCATGTCATGACTATAAATAAAAGTAAAAAACAATCTTATTGCGTGTTGGTTTATTGTTGAAAACTCATGTTTTTAGTCATGGACTCATGGTCAACTTTTAAGTTGTTTGTTAACTGCCATTTTCAGCCCAGTTTTGCAATTATCACCATTTGTAGTGTAAAAAGCATAACATTTTTGCTCCACACGATAATATCCAAACAAAGCTATTATGTGGTTGTGTGAAGAGTAATCATTGGTTAATTTTATTATTGTATGAAGTATATTCTTAACGATGTAAATAAAATTACAAGTTTTTTTCAAATTTAATTAGTTAATTCCACGTCAAATTTCACCAACCGTGCAACGCACGGGTGTTGTACTAGTATTTGATAAAATAAGTGTTTTTTATGCGAAAAGCTGATTTTTTAAAAGCATTTGCAGACAAAATTTCTTGTGAGGAAATATAGACCCACCGACAAGTAACGCGCGTTGGTCTTGAAAGCTGAATGATAGATTTGTACACCTACACATCTTGTGATGTTTAATGATTTCTTTTCTCATTAAAAGGTAAGGGGCCCGCCCGCCAATCAGATGCGAGCCAATTACTTTAGGGCGCCACTGTTAGCTGCTATGACTACATCCATTAACACAACGAGCTAATACAGTAATACTCTCTCCACCATTACTTTTTTTTTCCTTTCTCCTAAATATATGTACTGGGGTATCTTTCTTTTACAGTGGCTTCTGAATGCCCAACTACTTCTACTAAAGTTCTAGTTCTGGACCTTAAGAATGTAAGCATTTAGAGACTAACTGATGATTAAAAGGGATAATTTCACTTTCTACCCCCATTTTTTGCACCTCATTTTATGTCAATCAAACAAAAAGTAGATAAAAAGTAAGGATGATTGTGCCTTTTTGCTTAATAGTGATTTCTACTTGATGAAATGATAACTTTTTTTAGACTTTCATAAGAGGAAACTGAAAATTTCTTATCAGGACAGAGTATTACTAATGTAATGGTCAATTTACACGTATTAAATGCTGCTCCAATCCATTTAACAACATTTACCGTGTAAGCAGTTGTTTGTTTATTGGTGGTTTGTAGCCAATCCGCTAGAAATACGGGCGTTTTCCTTCACTAAAACGATGGCGGTTTGGCCAAAACTCTGGTATCCAAACACCACCTAAATGTTTCCTATTGTATCTATTACTGCCTTACCGGACGTTCATATAAGAACACAACCCTCTTATGGTTTAAGCCTCTCTCTACAAACCATCCCCCTCCTAATCAATATCTGTCAATTTTAGGTCAAATTACTACTCCGTATTACCTAGATAGAAATCAAGTCCAACGACTTGAAAATTTGCAGATAATTAAGGCTTTAAAAAAATTAATTCATGAAACCAATACGACAATAAAATCATGAACTGGTAATTACGAGCTTTGAAAGTTGAAACAATAACATACCTCTTCTTAGCTTTGGAACAACCTTATTATTAATATTATGAACGCGGACGGACTTAGGAGCGGCGACCTTATCAACAATCTCCTCCTCCGCCGCCGGGATCAGAATCCCATCGATCCCCTGCACAGAAATCCTCCCGTCGGTGTAAATGTCTGGCTCGAACAAATAACCAGACCCTTCGCCGTCCCCGAATTTCACCGACCCGTCCGCCTCCTCCGCCACCACCTTATGTGGCAATCTCAGCGTATCGTATCTGACCTTCCCAAACCTCCTCACCGCATTGTACATGCTCTCCTCCGTCTGGTACTCCGGTATGATATGATAGTACATTATCTTCTCCGGCGACCCTGGCTCGCTCAATTGGTCGGCGGTCAGCTTCGCCATCGCCTCATCGTTGGGCGCTAAAACTGTCAGCACGTAACCTTCCGACACTAATCTTCCCATTTCCGTGGCCAAAGATGTCAAATTTACCAAAATATCCGCCAGTTCGTTGTACCCGCCGTAGTGCAGGAGCGTTTGGATGAAATCTTTGACTTGACTCTCGCCGTCGAAGTGTCGGCGGTGCGTACCAGGTCCCGGCGCCGGCGCCGGCGCCAGAGATGGCCCCGGGGCCATCGCGTCCTGAATGGGTAAGGTTGGAGGGGCACCGACATGAACGGGAATCGCGAGTTTCTTCAGTCGGTGAGTCCTGGGGTCCACTTCCGGGGCTCCGGTGGGGAGGACAGCGGAGATTGCTCTCAAACTCCGGCGAGCGTTGAAATCCCGCTGAACCGATTTGGGAATCAACACGCGCCCTATCCCGTGAATCACACCATCGGGGCGGACAGCATCGTCGGGCCGGACAATCTTAACCCCACTCACCTCTCTCCGAGTGACGACGATATTCTCCCCGCCGTCTTCACGGCACAGGGTAGAGTGAGTCTGACGGCGGAGAGACCCTCCGGCCGGAAAGTTCTTATAGGACTCCAAGCGAGTGGGTATGATATGGAAGAGAAGAAGACTCTGTAGGGGCCGGAGATTTCGGGGTTCAAGCAGGAAACGCTTGAACTCCGGGTCCAAATCTCGTTCCAATGCCTCGTTTGTCGGCGCGAAAATGGTGATGTTGTGAAGGGAAACGGCATGTTCGAGAGTTTGAAGCAAGAGGGCCTTCTCGATGAGCTCAGAGAGGTCAGTGTAGTGGGAATCCAGAAGGGCGAGCAGGACCGAGTTAGAACTGATCGTCCGAGAAACAGAGTTTTTTTTTGATGGGATTTCTTCCGGCAACGCAGAACTGGTTGCTGTTCCCCAATGCAGCAAGACGACAGCGACGAGGGAGAAGAAGAAGAAGAGCTTGTAGAGTCGGCCATAGCCCCTGAAATCCATGGCGGCTGGTTGATTGTGCAAGATTTTCAACTCTTTCCCTCGCCGCCTGAAATGTGCTGGTCAGATTCCTCTCAGCATTTGAGGCGCAACCGTGTATATACGGAGTGATAAATTAGTTGTAGTTTTTTCTCTATATTGTATTCTAAAATGGGTTATATTGCAAATTTGATTTTTTAGTCAAACAATTTCATTTTATTCAGTTAATTAGGATGCTAATTTTTAATTATATTTTAATATTCAGTCATTTTATTCAGTTAATATGGAACTTTGAAGAGATTCTAATGTAGTTTCGGAATATATAAATTTTAATTATTAAAAATTGAATTAATTTTTGACTTTTATTAAGTAGTTTCGGAATATTAAGTTTCGGAGTATTGACTTTTATTATTGTTGTTCGAAAAATGTTGACTTGGCAAAACAATTTGGGACGGAGGGAATATAAGTTATTTTAAAATCTTGGCATTATGGTTATAGTTGTACTCCCTCCGTATCTAATTAGTTGTTCCATTTTTCTTTTCGAAAAGAAACTCAATCAAAAAGTAGCGGGATAAGGCTCAAATTGGACACTATGGTTTCATCAGAATCTCATATTTGACACTAAGGTTTTAAATGGACCAAATTAGATACTATGGTTTCATATGTATCTCATATTGGACACTAAAGTTTCATAATTCAATATAAGTGAGTGTCCAATTTGATCTTTATCCAATATAAGTGAGTGTCCAAAACCTATGAATTATGAAACTTTAGTGTCCAATATGAGATACATATGAAACCATAGTGTCTAATTTGATCCATTTGAAACCTTAGTTTCATATATGAGATTCTGATGAAACCATAATGTCTAATTTGAGACTTATCCCAAAAGTAGCTACAACATCACTACAGTGCGATGTAGATCTACATAAATGAACATGGATGAATAAGACCTGCTCTGGGAAAAACCACTGAAACGATGAAACCAAGCTATAGGAGCTAGTTTCAAACCATAAAGGGCCTTGCGAAGGCGGCACACATGATTAGAAAAAGATGGATGAACGAAACCCTGAGGTTGACGCATATAAACTTCCCAGTTAAATAACCATGCAAAAAAACATTTTTCACATCTAATTGTCTAACAGACCAGTCCAAAGAAATAGCCACAGATAAAATAAGACGAACAGTGGCAGGTTTAACAACATGACTAAAAGTTTCAGCTAAATCAATACCAGCCTGTTGTTTAAAACTTTGAGCAACTAAACGAGCTTTATGCCGCTCAACAGACCCATCAGAACAATATTTTGTCTTATAAATCCACTTACAACCAACCACATTTTCAGTAGGGTCCATAGCCACGAAATCCCAAGTCTTATTATTAATCAAAGCATTAAATTCATCAGCCATGGCATCCCACCAAATAAAACTCTAATGTGCCTGTGTAAAACAAGTAGGATCATCCGGGGGAGAAAACACGTAAGGTAAAAATAGTTTTGGGTTTAAAAATGCCATCCTTTGCATGTGTGCGCACTGGATGGATGTTTATAGCCGCGGGTGGGGTCGGGGAACCTGCTGCTGAGGGAGTCGGGGAGTTGTGGTTGTTTTTTCTGGTTTGTGACGGGGAAGGGGAGGCTGGGTCCGTTTCGGGTGAGCTACTGAGCTGTGGCGGTATAATCGGGGTAGTCGGTGGGGGTGTCCCGAGGACTAGCTGGTGGTGTAGGGTTGGTGGCCGCAGGTATGGAGTTCTGAATGGGTGACTGGGAGCTTGGGTACTGCTGGTTTGGGGGCTAGTTTGGTAGAGTCGAAGGTGAGGGGCGGTGTAGAGGTGCTGACAGTGCTGGGAATTGTGGGTTTGGCTGTACCGAAGAAGAGAGCCATGAAGAGGACAAGCCAACTATTGGAGAGGAAGGGGTTGATACCAAGGTAGTATAGGGAAAAATATTTTCATGAAAAACAACATCCCGACTAACATACACCCGCCTCATAGAAGGAGAAAGACAACGATACCGTTTATATCCTAGAGCATATCCAAGAAAGACACAATGCATAGAGCGCAGTGAGAGCTTATTATGAGAGGCATCAATAAAATTTGGAAACACAAGAGCAACCAAACACACGCAAAAAATTATGGGCTGGCAATTTATTAAAAAGTTTTCGATATGGTTGTCCCCATTCAAAATAAGTGTAGGCAAACGGTTAATAATAAATGTGGCGGTGTAGAGGTATCTACCTAGAAATGACTAGGAATAGAAGAATCAACCTAGAAGAATCTTCTAGGTATCTACCTAGAAGAATCAATCGATAATGTCCTAGTTAATTCTAGTAAATGTTGATGTTTCCGTTCAGGTACACCATTTTGAGCAGGGGTATTAAGACAAGATTTCTTAAATAAAAAGCATGAATTAAGAAAAGAGAAAATGTTGTTGAAAAGCAGAATTATCAAATTCATCACTGCCATCACTCTAAAAAAAATTAGAGATATTACCCGAAATAGGACTAAAAAGGTTCAAAAATTCCAAAATAGGACTCTCATGTTTTTATCCCCAAAATAGGACTAATTACTGTCATGTTTTGGTAGTACCAGACTTCAAACATGGCAGTAATTTCCAAACTTGACAGTAATTACTCATATTTTGGAAATAAAAAACATGACAGTTCTATTTTGGAATTTTCAAACTGTTTTAGTCCTATTTCGGGAACTTTCCCAAAAAATTATTTTCATATTCAAAAGATTTTCAACAAGTTTTTTAAAATTAATAAAATGAGTAAACACTTCAGATTTTCTACACATAGGATAAACTCAGGTATATCTAGAAAAATCATCAATAAAAGACACATAACATTTAAAACCCAGATTCGAAACATACAACTGGTGATTGCAACACATCAGAATGAATAAGCACTAAAGGAACAGAAGTATCATGAATAACATCATTAAAAGGAAGTCCGTGGGATTTGCCCAACTTACAAGAAACACAGTCATGATTCAAAGCAGAAGAACTAGTAATTAATTTATTTATTTTAAGTGTACAAAGCACTCGATCACCACAATGTCCTAGACGCTTGTGCCAGACTGGACCAGGTACAACTCGGGCTTGAAAAGCAGTAAAAGGATAAACATGGTCTTTATTAAAGGCCTGAAGAAGAAGCTCCCCCGTTTGATTGTCCTTAACAGAAAAGGAATTTTTATCAAAAATCACCTAACATACATTATCTGCACACAATTTTTGGATAAAAAGCAAAGTATATTTAATGTGTGGGACATGATAAACAGAGTTAAGATGTAGTGGGCGGCCATTTGTGAGTAATTTAACATGACCAACATGAGAAATAGGTAAATTGGTATCATTAACAACACATACTCGATTTGTGCCAGTGTAAGAGATTTTAGAAGACAACATACCTTCATTAGGAGTCATGTGCGCGGAAGCTCCAGACTCATGATACCAGACCGAATCATGCGTCTCACCGATGGGAAGAGCTGCAAGCGCAGGAGTATTTTGAGCAGTGGAACACGTCAGGGCTGAGTGACCTGGAGAAAAACATAGCTGACAGACCACTAAAGGAGCAGGTGACTGATATGAGTTCTCAACAGATGGAAAACATGCACTAACATTATAAGTAACACAATAGGCCACCTCGATTTCCCAAACCTTCATTACCATGGCCTGGACCCCCCCCCCCCCTCGGGCACCCTCTCGGCCAGTAGGGGCTGGGGCAGCCGCAAAAGCTTGGTTGTTGAGTATGTGGTTTTGTTGATGACTAACCATGCAGGTGGAACAGGGGACAGAACCGACTACGGAGAGTTCTAATATGAACTCTGGACAGAACAGTTCCACGAAACTCTCGGTCCCATAATTAGTCTGCGTGTGCATGTCTTTCAACGTATGATATTTTACATGCATTAATATCTTTCCATAATTGATTGAAATTTTGTGGAATGTATTGTTACATATGCTTTATGGAAAGTAATCATGAAAGTGGCATAATTTAAATATATTTTCATAAATGATTGGTCTCCCACTTAAGTGAGCTAACCTAAATAATTTAATATTTAATGGAAAGCATCTTTACTACCTTTATAGAAGTTGAACGTAACATGCTTAAATTTGTTAAGTAAATATTTCTTTGACATACGATTTTGAAAAGTCATCCCTAGTTAAAATATTAAATGAATATTTTTTTGGAAAGTATCTTGGCTTGCTATACATGATTGCATGTCTCATAATTGAATATATTTTTGGCACTTGGCCGTTGCATGCCTATATTGGTTAAGAAAATATTTTATTTGAGAATAATTTATACCAATTTGAATAGGGATCCTTGTTTGAAATATAATCCACATAAGATTCGTTGCATGATTTGACCTCCTTTTTCTTGGTGGAAATATCAAACGAAAGTTCCTTTTTTTGAATACTCTCTCTTTTAAAAGGAAATTGGTTTCAAATAGGAAATCCATATTTTGGCTAAATTTTTCCTACCTTTTTGGGTTGACCATAGTTCGGTTTTTCCCATTAAGTGATCACTCAAGATTTAAATGAATAGCACTTTATACGTGATTAATATGCTACTAATGTGATATTTTGAATGTCTTAAATTGGCTACCTAATATATTGAGTTTGGATTTGGGAAATATTATGAAAGGAAAACAATTCAAAATAACAAGGCAAGTCCCAAGATTAGAAGATCATGTATTCAAAGGAAGAATGCTCCAACGGATTTAAGGTAGCCTATATATATAATCGAAGAAGCTAAAGAGAAAGGTGTGCTGAACCGAGAAAAATACTTAGAAGAATCATTCAAGAAAAGGATCAAGTCCTTGGCGCCTGAAACTGCCCGCTCGGAGTTCTAGATAGAGTTTCTCTTTTCCCTTTCATATTGTACTTGGATTATTGAGGCTTAATTGGCTAGAGTAGCTGCCTCGGGTTAAGTGTGTGTGAGAGCTTTGTGACAAAGCTGAGAGGCTCTCTACCCGCAAGGTAGAGATGCATAACTCTTCCTAGAGAGGATAGAGTTGGGGAGGCTCAAGGGTAGATTAGGAGAATCACTCTTGTAACTCTTTCAAAGGCTTGTTTAGTGAAGTTGTTTAAAATTCCTCCGAGGGAGGTCGAGGTTTTTTAATCCCTTTGAGCCAAGGGATTTTTCCTCGTTAAATTCTTGTGCACTTTACTGTTTTGCAATTCCCTTTATCCCACACTAGAACTCGGCGAAAAACTGCCACGGTTCCACACACACACAATTCACCCCCCCTCTTGTGTTGCTAACCGTTTTCATCATTGGTGAACCGGAGGAGATTTTTGAGTGTGTAGAAAAGCATCATGTTGCTCCTGGGCTTGAAGGAGAGGCCGCAAAGTTTCCAAGGTAGCATCCCCCAGAATATGCTATCCTAACCCGAGGATAACATATTCAATTAAGTCCCTGTTGTTAACGGGTGAATTAATAGCCGCAAGAGAGTCTGCCATGAGTTTAATTTCCAATGGATATTGATCCATAATCTGAGATTCGTTCTTTTTAACATGACATAATGAACATTTTAATTCAATGGATCGAGCAAAACAGGTAGACATAAACCGAGCCTATAATATCTCCCACACCATGTGTAGCAAAAGGCCAAGACCTGACTGTCTAATCAATTTTTAGCCAATGGTGATGATCGGGATTGAGTGTTTCACGTCTAGCCAAGTTAAAAACAGTAGGTAACAGTACCCGAATTGAGCCATCTAATATCCATAAGAGACTGTGAGATATTAAGAATGACTCGAATTGAGTACGCCACGGTAAATAATCTTCTATGGCAGATAAACGTGTAGTAACAATGTTAGTCACATTAGGCGTGGAGAACGCTAAATGTGATGCCAAAATAGATAAGGAAGTAGCATGAGACGAAAGAACTTGGCTGCGTGGACTGTTGTACCGGCGGGAGTGGCTAGACTCCGCCATGTCCGGAAAACGTGGGGCCACATAAAGAAGCTGACTGTCCGCCTGCCCGGAGATGTGGAAAAAACAGGCAGTGGCTTTAGAACCATTGTGGGTGTCCAAGAAAAGGGTTCAAGCATATTGAACAACCGGTAAGAACCAAACGGCGGAATGTTGTTGATTCGTTGCGGAAGAGATGCTGCTAGTGTAACACCGTCCCCAAATATATTTACTTTTATGTAAATAATGTATTGAACCTTACTAAGGGATTAATGAATTTACGAAGTTGTAAATTTTTATTATTTCTTTCGCGTGAATAGTAAATTGCACGTGGGACCCACACCGGGAGCGGGGGCCGCCCGACATTCCCGAGACCATATATTTTATTCATCTTGGTCTAGATAATAAATATATAGTGGTGGATATTTCATTTGGGCCATGGAAAGGCCCAGAGTTGACCAATTGGTCAAAAGAAGCCCAAATTACCGGTACTGGTAATTTAACAGATAACAGCCCGAACTGAATTTCGGAGACTTATAAATTAAAGTTGGGGAATGTATATTCATTATACATGTCATAATGAGTAAGGGCACATAATATATTTTATTTGACCCGATAAAATAAAATATATTTAAAACAGTCCGAAAAATACAACTTTCGGGACCGATTGTACACACCGGGACACAAAGGGATGACCTCCCACATGAGTGGGGGCCACCCCACGTTTTTTTTGTGGGCTGTGAGAGGAGGGGAGGCTGGCTGATTGGAGAGGAGGGGTGTGGGAGTGGTTGACTTGAGGGGATTGGCATCAAAAGGACACATGGGGGGTCCATGCCATGTTATCATGGTGGAATAAGCCAAAAGTTGGCATTTCCTCTCACCCCCACCCTCATTTTCGGCCAAGGCTCATCAAGAGGAGAGGGAACCCCCTGCAAAATACATCCTCCATATCCAAGAACAAAGCCCAAGCAATAGGAGTCCAAGGGGGAAGACTATAGAAGGAAAAAGCTAGGAAAAGGTGTGAAAACTAAGGTAAGAACCTTATCATAACTTTTTCTTTATTTTTCTCCTACCATATGAGATATATATCATGTGAAGGATCCTTAAGAGGGTTCTACATGTTATAAGTATGGACTAATGGGTTGGAAAGTGATTCTATGTCCAAGAACGGACTTAGAAGCCAAAACGACCGGTTCACCGGAAAATAACCTTTTTGAGGTTATTTGTATTAATATGGGTTTTATGATTATAAAACCTTGTTAGGAACTTGTGAAAGGTATTTCAAGTGATTTCACAAGGTTGGAAAAGTCGCCGGAGTTGTCGCCGGAGTTGACCGAAAGTCGCCGGAGTTTCACCGGAGTTCAACCAAGAGGGGTAGAACTTCATAACGCTAGTTCAAGGTGAGTGGACGGCTTAATATCTTATAACTTTTGGGTCAATTATGAGATTACCTAAATGAATGTTATATGTGTTCATAATGATGTTTAAAAGATATTTAAACATGTGATTAGCCAACATAGTTAAGTGCGTATGAAAAGAATAATTGTTTATGCATGAAATATGATATGAGAAATTATATATAATGCATAATTGCTTTAAGAGTAAAAGAAGCACAATGGATATTATTAACTTAATTATATGATGAATTAGTTAATAAGTGTAAGACTTGAGATGGCGGTCAACAACAACGTTGACCGATGGTAAATGGATTAATTAATATCGGTTGATATTAGTTAATTATACATTTATATGGTTGCATGGATTTGCATGGATTGTGATACATAAGCTTTATGTAGTAAATTAGTTATGAATGACTAAATATGATATAGACCCTATCTAGCGTGATATGTGGTAAGTCATAAGTCGGGTGGAGTACCCAAGGATCGGGCGGTTATCCTCAAAACTCGGTTATATAGGGTGGAGTACCCAAGGATCGGGCGGTTATCCTCAAAACTCGGTTATAAAGGGTGGAGTACCCAAGGATCGGGCGGTTATCCTCAAAACTCGGTTATATAGGGTGGAGTACCCAAGGATCGGGCGGTTATCCTCAAAACTCAATTATAGGGTGGAGTACCCAAGGATCGGGCGTGTATCCTCAAAACTCATAGATTACATTTAATGATCTAGGACCGGGCGGTGTCCTTATGATAATTTATTTGACCAAGGAGGAGTTCTATACACTCATAGGTATATGGGTGGGTTGGGATTTAAGTCAAGGATATTGGCTACTATTATTTTCCCAAATAAACAATGACCTACGGGTCGGGTATTTCCAAGTGTATGTATACTAATATGTATTTCAAACTTGGGGGAAGGACTATACGTATATGTATCATCCTATGTTTGGGTCTTATACTTGAAACGCTAGTTATTCTATATTTAGCCTGCTACTCGCTCGGTACTTGTACTGACCCCTTCGGGGGGCCCCACCATTTTCAGGTTGAAGCTAGGGCTTGCTACCTGCACCTTTCTACGGGTGACATCAATCAAGGAAGACGTGGTTCGTGCTTCCTCATTTTATTTCAAATTACCAAACATTGCTCATGGATATTTTTATTTGTCATAAACTAATCTTTTGGGGCTTGCATGCCCATGTTATTGGCCGGTTGTGGCTTATGACTTACCGTTGAATATTTCCGCTATTCATTGGTTTAAATGTGATGTTGTTATGTATGTTTACTACTGAGTATGGATGGATTATTTTCTCGAACGCCTTGTGTAATCAAGTGAGGTTGACTCGCGGGTGACGTCACTTGATTATGCGGCGGTTGTACACGCGCTTGGATTGCGGTCTGGGGCGTGACAATTAAGTGGTATCAGAGCCATCTCAGTTCTAAACTATATAATCAACCTCTCACATGAGATTTTACGAAAGAGTTTCTACCGAAAACCATGAGCATTGGATTTTGACGTTATGGGACTATTGGAGCCTAAGTTGCAAGGCCTCTAATTGTTAAGACGGTACCCTTAACAATTGGTATGGTGGTGACTTGGACCAATACGTGTCTGTAACGTTCTTCCGTCAATTGACATTTATAGGAGTCTAATGACTCATCCATATTTCTTTCAGAAATGGAGGGCAGGCGAATGCGGACCAGGAACAATCCGAGGGGGCAGACGCCGGTAACATCCCAAAGGGGAAGCCGGGCTGCATCTCGGGGTTCAAGAGGAGGCCGTGGAGGCCGTGGAAGCCGTGGAGGTCATCAAGCTCAAACTGTGAGTGATGGCCATGTAAGCTCGGTGTATGAAACCAACACCGAGGACTATGACTCTACGTATGTTCCTGAGACAGAGCATGAGGAGACCCCATATGATGGGGGTGACACATACACCGATGAGGACAATGATGAAAGTGATGCCCGCTTCGCCCAAATGGGTGAATTACTTGAGTGGTATCAAAAGGAGAAACAGAGGAGAGACCTTAGGCGCCAAGCGAGGCGTGGCTCTCGTGGTGGTTCGGGTCAAGGGAGCCGGGGAACTTCCGTGGCCACCCCAGCGGCGTCACAAGGTGGGCGTGAAGGGGGTTTTGTTGTGAGGATCTCCAAGTACCTCAAGGAGGCTAGGGCCTTGGGGTGTAGGTCCTTTGACGGCACCGGTGACATTACCGTTGCCGCCGATTGGATTAAGAAGGTGAAGGATGCATCAAGAGACATGCAAATCACACCGGACGTGAAGTTGACTGTCGCTTCACGGCTACTTGAAGGGATAGCCTCTACGTGGTGGGAGAGCGTGGAAGGGAAGTACCATGGGGAAATAACATGGGCGGACTTTGAGCTAGAGTTCTATGCTCAATACTACTCCGAGTACGAGGTGAATGTGAAACGGAGAGAGTACACTAACCTCAAACAGAAAGATGGCGGCACGGTTAAGCAGCTGGAACAAGAGTTTAGAACCTTGGCGAGGTTCTTGCCAGAGTACGCGGTTGATGAGAACCGCATGACGGAGCACTTCTGGGATGCATTACTCTTGGACATCCGCGACCGAGCTACGTACTCTCGCCACATGTCATTTAGCGAGGTGGTGGAACAGGGTCTTCTTGGAGAGGCCCAGTGGAATGAGAGGAAAGCAAGGGACGCCGAAGAGGCGAAGAAGAGGAAGTGGAATAATTCGGGGCCACCCGATCATTCTCGAAGGAACAACCACGGGGGTGGTGGTGGTGGCGGTGGTTCATTCAAGGCGCCGGCCCCACCGGCAAAGAAGAACAGGGATGCGAGGTGGCACGGACCTAGGCCACAGAACTCGGGGCCACCTAGATGTCCCAATTGCTCAAAACAACACTTTGGGAAGTGCAATGAACCACCGAGGTGTTTTAAGTGCGGGAATGCGGGCCATATGAAGGCCAATTGCCCTCAATTGATGCAAGAGAGTGCCTCGGGAGCCGGGGGAGGGACCATGACGGGAAGGAACCGTGCGGGACCGTCAAACGGCGGCACGGGAAGAGGCGGCGCATCCACAAGTCATGCCGCATCCGTCAACCAAGGTGGGACCCAAGCCCGAGTGTACGCGATGACCGAGGCGGATGCGAGAGCAAACCCGGACTCCGTTGCAGGTAATACACGTATTCCCATGTATTTCTAGGCTTACTTTGATAATATCCGTCGTTGAGATTGAGTGCGGGCCACCCCGGGGTCGAACCGGGTGAGTTAGGCCAAATCGGACTGGAAACAGCCACTGCTGGCCAGGCACGCCCGCAGGCACGCCGTGCCTGGCGTCGTGCCTGGAGGGCAGTGGCACCCGAAGAGAAAGAAAAAAAAAAATTTTGGGCCAGGCACGGCCGCAGGCACGCCGTGCCTGGCGTCGTGCCTGGAAGGCAGTGTCGCCCCGAAGGAATTCGGCCAGGCACGGCCGCAGGCACGCCGTGCCTGGCACCGTGCCTGGGAGGCAGTGTTGAGCAGGAAGGATCCGATGCACGCACGGCCGTGCGTGCCACCCAGGCACGCCGTGCGTGGACCCCAGAACCCGGAAATCGGATTTTTCCGCCCCGTTCTTCTACGTTTGGACTCCTGTTTGATTCCAAACATTAGTATGAGCCTAATAACCTCCTAAAGATGTGTAAAAACATTAGAAAATGTATCTTACATGGTGTATAAATGTAGGAACATTAAAGATCAATGGTAGGTGTGCCAGGATCCTCATCGATACCGGGGCACAACGCTCATTTGTGAGTGAGGCGTTCGCCGAGGGCTTTGACGTGCCATTGACACCTATGACTCAAACGTTGCTAGTCTCCACACCGTTAGGAGACGACGTGGAGAGAAATCATTACTATCCGTCGTGTAAGGTAGAAGTGACGGGTCAACCTTTGACTTGTGATTTCGTACCTCTAAGCATGTTGGAGTTTGATGCAATCCTAGGAATGGATTGGCTCGAGAAACACCATGCCCGGGTAGATTGCTACACCAAGGTGTTGGAGCTCGAGGATGATCAAGGGAACACGCTATGTTTCGAGGGAGATCGGGGGAAATCTAATGCTTGTATCATATCCGTGATGAGAGCACGAAAGATGATGAGGAAGGGATGCCACGCATACCTTGCATATGTGGTAGATGATACGAAGAAAGAAGTCGACATCAAGGATGTTCGAGTCGTGTGCAAGTACCCGGACGTCTTTCCCAAGGACCTACCGGGGCTTCCACCCGATAGAGAAATTGAATTTGTAATCGAAGTGGAGCCGGGAACCAAACCCATTTCGATTCCTCCTTATCGAATGGCGCCGGCCGAACTCCAAGAGTTGAAGGTCCAACTACAAGAATTACTGGACAACGGGTTCATCAGACCCAGTCATTCACCGTGGGGAGCACCCGTACTCTTCGTAAAGAAGAAAGATGGTACACTAAGAATGTGTATCGACTACCGACAGTTGAACAAGGTCACCATCAAGAACAGGTATCCTCTACCTAGGATTGATGACTTGTTTGATCAACTTCGAGGGGCCATAGTATTCTCAAAGATTGACTTGAGATCGGGGTATCATCGGTTGAAGATCAAGGAGAGTGACATACCTAAGAGTGCATTTCGCACTAGATATGGCCACTACGAGTTTCTTGTGATGTCATTTGGGTTAACCAATGCACCGGCAGCATTCATGGACTTGATGAACCGTGTGTTTAGTGAATACTTAGATCAATTTGTGATAGTATTCATTGATGACATCTTGATATACTCCAAGAGCGAGGAAGAGCACGAACACCATTTGAGGCTTGTACTTGATCGGCTAAGGGAAAAGCAACTCTTCGCCAAGTTCTCCAAATGCGAATTTTGGCTCAAAGAGATTGGTTTCCTCGGTCATGTCATATCCGGTTCGGGTGTTGCTGTGGATAACGCCAAGATAAAAGCGATCATGGATTGGGAGAGACCCAGGAATGCGAAGGAGATACGTAGTTTCCTTGGCCTAGCGGGATACTATCGTAAATTTGTTGAGAAATTCTCCGTATTGGCGTCTCCATTAACGAAGCTCACAAAGAAAGGGGCCAAGTTCATATGGGACGATAAGTGCGAGAAGGGGTTCCTTGAATTGAAGAAACGACTTACCGAAGCACCAGTCCTGGCCCTACCCATACAGGGTATAGGGTACGACATTTACAGCGATGCTAGCATCCAAGGGCTTGGATGTGTACTAATGCAAAACGGTAAGGTGATTGCCTATGCTTCTAGGCAATTGAGGAAACACGAGGTGAACTACCCTACTCACGATCTAGAGTTGGGGGCGGTGGTGTTTGCATTGAAGATTTGGAGACATTATCTCTACGGGGAGACGTGTCACATTTATACTGACCATAAGAGCTTGAAGTATGTATTCACTCAGAAAGAGTTGAATATGAGGCAGAGGAGATGGATGGAGTTGATCAAGGACTATGACTTGATCATCGACTATCATCCCGGAAAGGCCAATGTAGTGGCCGACGCACTGAGCAGGAAGAGTACGTCAGGGACGCTACTCACATGTCTACAAGCATTGAGGGCACACGTGGAGGTATCCACGACCGGGGCACTCATTGCTAGGTTCGAGGTGAGGCCTACATTGCTGAGTGAGATCAGTAAATGTCAGGCCATTGATGAGGAATGTCAGAAGATCCGCGAACGGATCCTTGAGGGGCCCGTCGAGAATTTTCGGATACGTGGTGACGGTCTTTTATTATTTAAGGATCGTGTGTGCATACCAAAGAATGAGGAGCTCCAGAAGTCTATACTTGAGGAGGCTCATTCTTCAGCATATGCCATGCATCCAGGAGGTACTAAGATGTACCGAGATCTGAAGGAAAGTTACTGGTGGTCAGGTATGAAGAGAGATATCGCAGAGTTTGTGAGTCGATGCCTTACTTGCCAGCAAGTTAAGGCAGAGCATCAGCACCCAGCAGGGCTCTTACAACCGCTCACTATCCCAGAGTGGAAGTGGGAACATGTGACCATGGACTTCGTGGTGGGGCTGCCACGAACAGTGAACAACTACGATGCCGTATGGGTAGTGGTTGATAGGCTCACCAAGAGTGCACACTTTCTGCCTATCAACATTACTTATCCCCTTGAAAGATTGGCCAAGCTATACACGGAGGAGATTGTGAGATTACATGGAGTCCCAATATCCATTGTCTCGGATAGGGATCCAAGATTCACATCCCGATTTTGGCCAAAGTTTCAAGCATCTTTGGGGACTAAACTGAAGTTTAGCACAGCTTTTCACCCACAGACGGATGGACAGTCCGAGCGGGTGATACAGATTTTGGAAGACATGCTTAGGGCATGTGCCTTGGAGTTCCAAGGAAGTTGGGACAAGCATTTGGCCCTAGTGGAGTTTGCCTATAACAACAGTTATCAGGCAAGTATCGGCATGCCTCCATATGAGGCATTGTATGGGAGGAAGTGCAGAACACCGTTGTGTTGGGACGAGGTTGGCGAGGCCAAACTCGAAGGGATAGAGCTGGTTGAGATCACCAAGGCCAAGGTAAGGATCATTCGGGATAGATTGAAGGCTGCTCAGGACCGGCAGAAGAGTTATGCTGATAAACGGCGGAGACCGTTGGAGTTTGAAGTCGGTGATGAGGTCTTCCTAAGGATTTCTCCTTGGAAGGGCATCATTCGATTTGTATCGAGGGGAAAGCTTAACCCCCGATACATAGGTCCGTTTGAGATCCTTGAAAGGATCGGGGCCGTGGCTTACCGTCTCAAGTTGACGCCTGAACTTGAGAAGATACATGACGTGTTTCATGTATCAATGCTCAAGAAGTACATACGAGACCCATCTCATATTCTTGAGAAACCACCGGTAGAGATCCGTGAGGACTTGCAATATGCGGTGGAACCAGTGAAGATTGTTGGTCAACAAGTGAAGAAGCTTAGGAATAAGGAGATTCCTATGGTAAAGGTTCTTTGGAGAAGTGATCGAGTCGAAGAAGAAACTTGGGAGACCGAGGTCTCAATGAGGGAGCAATACCCATTTCTTTTCGATTAGATACTTGGATTTCGGGGACGAAATCCCAAATAAGGGGGGGTGAACTTGTAACACCGTCCCCAAATATATTTACTTTTATGTAAATAATGTATTGAACCTTACTAAGGGATTAATGAATTTACGAAGTTGTAAATTTTTATTATTTCTTTCGCGTGAATAGTAAATTGCACGTGGGACCCACACCGGGAGCGGGGGCCGCCCGACATTCCCGAGACCATATATTTTATTCATCTTGGTCTAGATAATAAATATATAGTGGTGGATATTTCATTTGGGCCATGGAAAGGCCCAGAGTTGACCAATTGGTCAAAAGAAGCCCAAATTACCGGTACTGGTAATTTAACAGATAACAGCCCGAACTGAATTTCGGAGACTTATAAATTAAAGTTGGGGAATGTATATTCATTATACATGTCATAATGAGTAAGGGCACATAATATATTTTATTTGACCCGATAAAATAAAATATATTTAAAACAGTCCGAAAAATACAACTTTCGGGACCGATTGTACACACCGGGACACAAAGGGATGACCTCCCACATGAGTGGGGGCCACCCCACGTTTTTTTTGTGGGCTGTGAGAGGAGGGGAGGCTGGCTGATTGGAGAGGAGGGGTGTGGGAGTGGTTGACTTGAGGGGATTGGCATCAAAAGGACACATGGGGGGTCCATGCCATGTTATCATGGTGGAATAAGCCAAAAGTTGGCATTTCCTCTCACCCCCACCCTCATTTTCGGCCAAGGCTCATCAAGAGGAGAGGGAACCCCCTGCAAAATACATCCTCCATATCCAAGAACAAAGCCCAAGCAATAGGAGTCCAAGGGGGAAGACTATAGAAGGAAAAAGCTAGGAAAAGGTGTGAAAACTAAGGTAAGAACCTTATCATAACTTTTTCTTTATTTTTCTCCTACCATATGAGATATATATCATGTGAAGGATCCTTAAGAGGGTTCTACATGTTATAAGTATGGACTAATGGGTTGGAAAGTGATTCTATGTCCAAGAACGGACTTAGAAGCCAAAACGACCGGTTCACCGGAAAATAACCTTTTTGAGGTTATTTGTATTAATATGGGTTTTATGATTATAAAACCTTGTTAGGAACTTGTGAAAGGTATTTCAAGTGATTTCACAAGGTTGGAAAAGTCGCCGGAGTTGTCGCCGGAGTTGACCGAAAGTCGCCGGAGTTTCACCGGAGTTCAACCAAGAGGGGTAGAACTTCATAACGCTAGTTCAAGGTGAGTGGACGGCTTAATATCTTATAACTTTTGGGTCAATTATGAGATTACCTAAATGAATGTTATATGTGTTCATAATGATGTTTAAAAGATATTTAAACATGTGATTAGCCAACATAGTTAAGTGCGTATGAAAAGAATAATTGTTTATGCATGAAATATGATATGAGAAATTATATATAATGCATAATTGCTTTAAGAGTAAAAGAAGCACAATGGATATTATTAACTTAATTATATGATGAATTAGTTAATAAGTGTAAGACTTGAGATGGCGGTCAACAACAACGTTGACCGATGGTAAATGGATTAATTAATATCGGTTGATATTAGTTAATTATACATTTATATGGTTGCATGGATTTGCATGGATTGTGATACATAAGCTTTATGTAGTAAATTAGTTATGAATGACTAAATATGATATAGACCCTATCTAGCGTGATATGTGGTAAGTCATAAGTCGTGTGGAGTACCCAAGGATCGGGCGGTTATCCTCAAAACTCGGTTATATAGGGTGGAGTACCCAAGGATCGGGCGGCTATCCTCAAAACTCGGTTATAAAGGGTGGAGTACCCAAGGATCGGGCGGTTATCCTCAAAACTCGGTTATATAGGGTGGAGTACCCAAGGATCGGGCGGTTATCCTCAAAACTCAATTATAGGGTGGAGTACCCAAGGATCGGGCGTGTATCCTCAAAACTCATAGATTACATTTAATGATCTAGGACCGGGCGGTGTCCTTATGATAATTTATTTGACCAAGGAGGAGTTCTATACACTCATAGGTATATGGGTGGGTTGGGATTTAAGTCAAGGATATTGGCTACTATTATTTTCCCAAATAAACAATGACCTACGGGTCGGGTATTTCCAAGTGTATGTATACTAATATGTATTTCAAACTTGGGGGAAGGACTATACGTATATGTATCATCCTATGTTTGGGTCTTATACTTGAAACGCTAGTTATTCTATATTTAGCCTGCTACTCGCTCGGTACTTGTACTGACCCCTTCGGGGGGCCCCACCATTTTCAGGTTGAAGCTAGGGCTTGCTACCTGCACCTTTCTACGGGTGACATCAATCAAGGAAGACGTGGTTCGTGCTTCCTCATTTTATTTCAAATTACCAAACATTGCTCATGGATATTTTTATTTGTCATAAACTAATCTTTTGGGGCTTGCATGCCCATGTTATTGGCCGGTTGTGGCTTATGACTTACCGTTGAATATTTCCGCTATTCATTGGTTTAAATGTGATGTTGTTATGTATGTTTACTACTGAGTATGGATGGATTATTTTCTCGAACGCCTTGTGTAATCAAGTGAGGTTGACTCGCGGGTGACGTCACTTGATTATGCGGCGGTTGTACACGCGCTTGGATTGCGGTCTGGGGCGTGACAGCTAGCGGTGATTGAGGCGACGCAGGATCGGGGATCATCGAGATGTTGATTGACGATTGCTGCGGGCGACTAGTATTGCTGGTGGAGCCGGAGTCCATGTGAGCAGTGGCGATTGTAGTCATGGATCAAGCGGCGGCGGCGGCACCTGTGTGGTCGTGGAGGGAGCTATGGCCGCAAAAGGGTTCGGCGTCGAAGTGTGATCAGAGCGGACGTTGTTTGTTCAGGGGTGTTCGCGCGAACACCCAAAATTTTGAAGATAATATTTAAAAATATATGTATAAAAATTGATATAATAATCTATATATATTTTATTTCGTAAACAAATTTTTTTTAGCCTTAACCCTTGTTGCTAGTTTTTTACTTTTTGTTTTAAAAAATTACATTGCTTCAATTGTGGGATCAAACAATATTATTGTGAAATTCTTTAACCATGAATTTTTTTGGAACACCCAACTTTCGATTGCAAGATCCGCCACTGGTGATCAACCATTGAAGAGAGCGAAGAATTAAAACCCTAAATGAGTAATATCATATAAGAAAATAGAATTGTGGAAAATAATGACTTACTCTATTAGGTGTCTTAGCCTTGTATTTATAATAAAATAGAGTTATGGAATATTACAAAATAATTCCTAAATATTACATTATTATATTGAACTCATTAAAATCCCTACCAAAACTCAAAGAAAGATGTTGGGCCCTTGGACCGGGAGGAATAAACCTAAGCAGATACATTAATAAATACGAGTAAAATATAATCTAAATGGAGCTCTGCCCCTATTGCCGCCGCTTTTGGTCACCGCCGCCAACAGACTAATTCGATTACCCAAGACAACTCGAAAGTCAATTAATTAAGTAAAGTTGGAGTATTAAGTGGAAAAAATTAATATTTAATTCTAGTTTGTGAAATATTTAAATTTTAATCCTATTTATGCAATTATGTTTACGTTTATTCTTACTTACACAATTACTGAAAAACTTAATTTCAGAGAGCATGTACTTTTTTTTGAAGAAAACAGAGAGCATGTACTTCAAACAAAATACGAGTATGAGGGTTGACGAAAATAATTGGGAATGCAGTCGACAATAATTCGAATCACTCTACATAATTGCACTACTTTTTTAGGAGAGCATTTTCCCGCTCAATGGCCGAGCAGTCGAGCACACATCTCAGCCGTACGATGGGAAAAACATATACGGCTTTCACTTCCTCATCGTCTTCGCTCAAATTTCTTTTTCGATCTGTGCAATTGAAAGGATTTTCACTTCATTCCAGATCCACGCATTTCTCAATCGCTTTGAAAGGTCAAGGTACATCTCTTTCTCAATCTCTCATCCTTACCTCATTTCTCATTTCACAGTCTTTACACAAATTTGATTTAGGTTTTCTCAATTCCAGATCCGCCGTATTCATCCAAAATCTCTACTTTCAGATTTTGTTCATAAGATTTCTCTGTTCAGTTCTTAAGGCATTCGAGTTCATCTCAGAACTAATCTTTAAGTTTGACATGAGTTTCTTTTATTATAGAATACCTTGAAATAACTACATACTTCAAAAAGAAATTGTCCAATTATGAATGAGGTGAACTTTTCATTTGCACTATTTGGCTGAAATGCATAGTTGTTGTTCAAGAACACTTGCTTCATAATATTATAAACAACCGAACTCTAAGAAGATAAGAACATCTCAATTGATTTTGCATCAGTGACATAAAAACATCTCACTACACATATTAAAAACATATTGATTCTGTTTTATTCATTTATTTGATTCTTTAAATTACATATTTCAGTAGCCATTTCAAAATTGTAATTTCATTTCACCACTTTGTATTTATTTGAGTTTTTAACTGAAAAAACATTTTCCCAAATTATTTCTGTTTTCTGAATTCATTCCGTGTACCTGAATTGCAAACAGATGAATAAACAATGAATTTACTTTTGTGCAATATATCCCTTTTCCAGCTTTCTTAGCATAAAGATCACATATGTTTCTAATCCAAATTGTGCTCCAATTTTGCAGAATCTAGCAAGATTCAGTGTGTTGTGCTGGAGATTCAGATGATCTTTCTTTGTTTTTTAAATAGCATTAATCTAGGTTTTTGTTTATAGATGATAAGTCTATAATTCTTATATTTACAAACAGGACATCTCATTCTCTGGCTTCATACTATCATTCTCTACCATGGCCTCGAACAACTATAGCTCAATGTGAAATATAAAATTGAACAAATCTTGATGGAATCCACCATGGTGTGACGAAATTCTTTTTTAAGTACTCATGTTTCATCGTATTGTAAATAATGAACAAACTTGATGCATATATGTTGTAACTTTCTTCCTCCGGGATATTTAGCACTTAGGGGGTGTTTGGAACTGATTCTGATTCTGCTTCTTTTTTAAAGTTGAAGCAGAATCAGAATCAGTTTTTAGAAGCTGGTCACCCCCAGCTTCTAAAAAAACTGATTCTAGGAGTAAATTTGAATATCAGAATCACTTCAGCACTTTCACCCAAACACTCCAGTTTCTGTTTCTGCTCCCTGAAGGAGCAAAAGCAATTTTAAGAATCGGATCCAAACACCCCCTTAGTTGGTGTTCTTTAGCTGCCAACTATATGACTCTACTGTTTGATGGAAATTGTTATGTTTACCTCAAACATCATTTACAGGTTGTTATGGATAGAGACCTCATGTGATTGATGTCCTGCATAGCAAACTTGATATGATACACTTACCTTTTATTTTCTTGCTAATTTGCTATGTTGATGGTAAGAGTTGAATCTATCATCATCTGCAGCTATTATCAATCCAATCGTTTTCAAAAAAAATGTTTTCACACTTCGCTAATGTTTTGGGTGCAGGTGAAAAGGATGTGAATGGGCTAAACTATTATATATTGCAAGCTGCTATTTTGCAGTTTGAAGTTCCATTTTTAAGCGCCTGGTCGGATTCCCATATCATGCACTCCACTTTTGGCCAATTACGAATTGAATGACTCGGTTTTTTACTCAATAGCATTGACTATAAATTTTTCTGATTGTTGGTTATTCAATTTGTGTGAAGATAAAAAGTAGAAGTTTACTTTCCTACCATCGTATTAATCTAACAGTTGATATTAGTTCATCATTATATTAGAGTTGGTGTAATTTTTGGTAACATTAATTATTGATGTAAATGAGTGAAAAACTTGGTCCATTGAATAACTTTTTAGCAAAAAATGGAGTCACCTCATGCACTATTAGGCGTGCCTCATCATTGATCTATACATCCCTTACTATTAATTATTATGTATATATACACACCTCATTTTTCTTTCAATGCGTAAATTTAGTGATGGACTTTTGGAATCACATGCATGTATAAATCTCCTATATTAGAAGTGGATCATTTGGGAGCGAGCGATCACAATCTACGTGGAATTGGCCCAATATTTCAATCATAGGCTCTCGGCTATATAATTCAAGAAAAGTAGGTTACGCAAGCACTCCAAATAGGTATTTCAACCAAATTAGAATCAAACCTTATCTAGGATAGGCATGGTTAGGGATGGACCGGGCCGGTCTTGGGTGGTACTGGATATTTGGGCTTAAGTCCGGTACCGGCTCGACATTTTACCAGGCCCGGGCTGGGTCGTTTATTATCGTAAAATTGGCCTTTTCTAATTTCTTCCTACCACCACCCCCCAAACCCCGCCAAAACACCCAACCCAACCCAGCTAGCAGCGGCCCAATGTAAAAAAAAAAAATGGCCCGCACCGAGCCGGTCACCCATTTCCCTGTCCTGCTGCCCGCCCCCTATCCCCGGTACCGCCCGACGGGCCGGATGGGGCCTACACAGTGGAGGGCCTGGGTGCACCTGTCCCAGTCCATCCCTAGGCATAGTGGGTATCGGGAAGGGGTGGTGGATCCTTTCTATAGAACAATAGAATGTGTTCTTATAAACACCCAAAAATAAAATAAAAAGAACGAAATATATATGCTAGAGTTAGCAGATTAATTTATTTATCTACTCCATTTGTCTTATAAAATTCACCACATTGACTTTTCTTGATCAATGATGACTATGTTTGATTAATGTTCTTTATATGAAAATGTTATTTAAAGTATGAAAATTGTTTCAAATTATTTTTTGTCAAAAAAAAAAAAACAAAAGTTATAAATTCTTTACGAATATAATATCTAAAATCATTGTCCAAAGTTTATGATCATTAATCACGAAAAGTTAATTTGCTCAAATTTTATGAAACGAAGGGAATAGTATTTTGACATTTAGGTCCACTTATTAGTTTTTTGAGACAAAACCATTTTTCACAAGTGAGTCTTTATCGTCACAATTTTAAATAAACTTAAAATCCATCCCGTGCAACGCACGGGTGAAAATACTAGTTACTGTAAGTTCCTTTCCCAAAGCCAAATTATGAAAGATTGCGGTCACTGTCAAACCGCACGAGGCGGCGCGTGAAGGGAACTGGCTCCGTACAACAATGCAAACTGAACAGATCACCGTACGTACTCATCAGAATTGGGAATCTACCTTCTTCCTATTGTCGGTGGGTAACTTTGCGGAGTAAAAAACGTTGGCCCATCTGACGTTAATGGCATTCATTAGGTGGCCCAGAAGAGCAGTTTAGTCTTTACACCCTTTGTCGTTGCTCGTTTAGTCAATACTTGTGACATAACCCTTATATATTAATGTGCAAAAACCAATTGACACAATGTTTGAGATAATATAATTATATAATGATTACGCTCAAGTGTTTACCGTAAATGGTGAAATGCAGATATCTGATATCCAGCGGAGGACCTGGGGGTCGTAGGGGCAAGTGCTCCCACTTCCGACTCCAAAATTTAAGATTAGTACTTAAAGATAAAAATTGTGCTCCCGCTACTTGATAAAAATCTAGAGATTATTTCATAAATATTAACGAAGTAGAACTAATGGACATAAATATTACTACGTACTATAGTTACTATGCATAGTCACTATATTAATATATATTGAACACAATCATGATCACTAAAATTACCATTGTAGTTACCAAATCTTATTGTTTTCACTATCTTTATTGCAATCATATTGTCATTATTTAAAAAAACTCTAAACTATATAGGACTCCGTCGAAGACATAACAATTGTAGTAAGATATACTCCCTCCGTCCCCCTAAGTTTGGGACGGAGGGGTGTGGTGTGGTTTTTAAGAAAAAGTGGAATTGTGTGGTTGGTATTGAATTGATAAAGTGTAAATAAAGTAAGAATGAATTCTAACCACTCAAATGTTACCAAATATGGTATGGGACAAACTTAGTGGGACGAACGAAAAAGGTAAAACGGGACAAACTTAAGGGGACGGAGGGAGTAGTAGTATAAATTATAAACAACCACGAAGTTGTGATAGAGCAAATCCTTATAGTTACACATGTTGATACAGTTAATACACTTTCTTTGAAAAGTGACATTGATGATTTTCTTAGTTAGTGTAAATAATGTTTGTCCAAAGTTAAAGGTAAAAGATATGACAAGTGTTCTAACATGTAGGAAGAACTTAACAGATTGAAGACTTATTTTAGCTTGAATAAAAGTTCATACATGAAAAAATGTGTCAATTCGTGATAAATTAGTTTCAAACCAACAAATTTTGTGACACAATATGTAACATTCAACATGATTCTAGCTCAAATATGAGAATTCTAATGTAAAATCAGAAACGGCGCAAAGATGAATCATTTCTGATCCAAATTATATCTTTCTTTCAAAAAGCCATATATATTGTTTAGAATTTAGAATTGTCTTAATAAGTTCAAAATTAGACTTATAATCCATATAGGTTCATTGCTTGAAGTTGACATTGAATAATCTATTTCGAAATAAAAATAATAATCTGAATGCACTTGACAAAAAAGACTAATGATACACCTGATTTGATCCGAACCGACCCATTTCCATCTATGCCGGAGTGCCCCCGCTTCAGAAAAGTTCTGGGTCCGCCACTGCTGATATCCCTCCGTCTGACCGTCTCTATTGACATCGTTTAGCACTTTTAACACCATTTAACATTGTTTTGCATTGTTTGTTTACAAAATAAGAAAATAGGACATCGTTTAGCACTTTTGACACCTTTTGACATGCATTGTTTAGAAACAAACCAAAAGGAAAACAAGATGTTTATTTAGAGACTACTTGGAAGATATCACATACTCTTTATGAGACGTTTAACCCTTACCTATCAATTACTTTGTATACCCTTAGGACATGTTTACTTCACCGGTTATTAAACGGTGCTTATTAAGACCCGTGTTAATAAGCGGCGCATAAAATAAACAATGTTGTAAGACCGTGTTTACTTCAAACGGTTTAAAACACCGCTTAACATTAAAATGTATAAAATAACCCTATACATATATATACACACAAACATTCATGAACACAAGTATATAATATAATATGTGTACCCATACCCCTAACACCTTACCCACCCTACCTTACCCCGACCCCACCCACCGCCTACCCCTGCCCCCTACCCCTACCCTACCTACCTGACCCCACCCTATCTACCCGACCCTACCCCTACCCGACCCCACCCTAACCTGTCCCCACCCTACCACAACCCTACCCCCTACCCCCATAGGCCCTTACCACATCGACCCCACCCCGACCCCACCTTACCCCAACCCCGCCCCTACCCCTACCCTACCCAAGTGGTAGGGTGGGTTCGGGTAGGTAAGGTGGGGGTTGAGGCGGGGTAGGGTAGGGGTAGGGTCGGATAGGGTAGGGTGGGGTCCGGTATGTGGGTAAGGGGTGGGTAGGTAGGGTAAGGGTAGGTGTGTGGTCGGGTAAGTAGGGTAGGGGTGGGATTGGGTAGGTAGGGTAGTGGTAGGGTGGGGTCGGGTAGGGGTAGGACGGGTTGGGTTGGGTCAGGGTAGGGGTAGGGGTAAGGTGGGGTCGGGTAGGGGGAGGGTAGGTGGGGTAAGGGTATGGGTGGGGTCGGGGTAAGGGTAGTGTAGGTGGGGTAAGGGTAGGGTGGGGGTCAGTTAGGTAGGGTGGGGGGGTGTCTGGGTAGGGTAGGGGTAAGGTGGGGGGTACGTGTAGGGTGGGGTCGGACAGGTAAGATAGGGGTAGGGTGGGGTCGTGGTAGTGGTAGGGGGGGTCGGGTAGGTAGGGGTAGGGTCGGGGTAGGTAAGGGTATGGTGGTGGTCGGTTAGGTAGGGTAGGGGTGGGGTCGGGGTGGGGTAGGGTAGGTGGGGTCGGGGTGGGGTCAGGGTGGGGTAGGGTAGGTGGGGTGGGGTCAGGGGTAGGGTCAGGGTAGGTGGGGTAAGGGTAGGGTGGGGTTGGGGTCGAGGTGGGGCAGGGATAACAATAGGTTAAGGGCAAGGGGTAAATTCAGAAACTGAAAAAGCTTAAAGTGCCGCTTAATTAATACATGGGGGGGTGGTATGCTTAATAAGCGGCACTTTAAGCACCTCTTTCGGTTAGTAAGCGGCTTTTTAAGCAGTGTGCGTGTTTACTTCACCTGTCTTACTAACCTAACTTTGACTTTAGCAGTGAAGTAAACACCTCCTTAGACTTTTAGCCAATGGCGGCTTAACATGCGGATGTAAAGAATTTTATAAAATAATGTTTTACGTAATTTATTATGTGTAAAAATGAAAGTTTTTTTTTCAAATTTGGGGTGAGAGTTAACAACCTATTATGCACCTCTAGTATGCTAACACCTTGTTGACCGTGTGCTAATTACTCCGTATATTTTTACTTATCATTTGCATCATAAGTACTTTTCCATTTTCATCCAAACACTTCAATATCTGGTTCTGATCCCTAATGAAGCAGAAGAAGAAACGGTTTTAAGAAGTAGATCCGAGCACCCCTAAATCTATTTTTGTTAAAACGCACCACGATTTTCATACGACCTACGGCGGTACTGAAGTACCCCTGAACCTCCAAAACAGATTAAACGGGTTGCTCGGGATTGGAACTTGGCATTTCAATATGAAGTTTGGCTACTTGTCGTTTCTTACATTAAGTTTATATGAGTGCTTATATTTATTTAGTTAGACAATTACTCTAGTTTTTGGTTTGTGTATGGATAGTGTACCCGGGGTATCTTATCTGAGGGGTTAATCGGGTAATAATCTAGAGAGAAGTCAGAGCAAACAAGTAAGAGAGAGAGAGTCACTTGTATTAAATGAACTCGAGATGTTGGGATCCTCCGTTGAGTAGCGTGAGGCTACCCTTGGCTTGTAGCGGTTTCCCAGGGCCCCAATAATTGTGGACTTGGGAAATTTTCACCTTAGAAGGAATTTGGTGAAATCTTTGCCTTCGGTATGTGGCCTCCCCTCATGTGGTGCTCCAAGCTTCCATAATTTGTGGGCTGTCAAAATCTCCATGTTGTTTGAGTAGATCTCACTTGTTCGTACCCCTTCGGTTTTAGTCGGACTCCAATAAGATAGGAGGCTTCTCCTTGGGGCGCCCTTGGGAGATCAATCGATTTGTTTTGGACTCGGAGAATCACTCAATTTTTGAACAAATAGCCTTCGGGAGAATAACCCTTGTGACGCTTTAATCCTTCGAGCAAGAAGCCTTCGGGAGCATATCTCTATGGTGTTTTTTTTTAAAGCCTCCGGGAGTATGACATCCAGGAGTTCCTTCCCTCCTACACATTTGTTTTTGTTTTTTTTAATGTTGTAGGAGGGGCATCAAGAAACTTGATTTCTTGGAAGGCTTGGCCTATATGGGAGGCAACGGAACAAACCGTTGGCTCCCCCCCTTGGGGATTGACCTTTCGGATCCCGAGGGGTTTGAGGGCCGTTTCCTCGGCCCGAGACATCTTTTGTTGTCTGCCTCCCCTTGGGGGATGGCGCGGAAAGCGTCTCGATTTTGAAAGTCGTCCCCTCAGCCCGAGACATGGTCTGTTGCCTGCTTCCCCTATGGGGATAGCGCGGGGAGCGTTTCGTTTTTGAAAGTCGAATCCTGGGCCCGGGACATGATCTGTTGCCTGCCTACCCTTGGGGGATGGCGCGGAAAGCGTTTCAAGGAAGGGTTATATTTGTGTGTGAAACACAAATGGCCAGGGGTACTTGGTACCTGCCGGAGCCGAGGGGTATTGTACCCCTCTTTTTTTGTGCGTATGTATAAGTATGCATGAAACAATGTATGCATGGGGGCATCCTCGAGGGGAATGGCTTGCTTAAAAACACTTTTTGTTTTTAAGAGTGGCGGGTGTATTCCGCGCACCTTGTACTTGGTACTTTGTGTAATGATGTTATATTTTATTCATCCTCATGAGAGAAAGGGGTCTTGGGCCGTTGATCACCTATATTGGTGAATGATGAGGGCTTGGCCGCTCATATGCATTTCGTACTTGGTACTTTGTGTCTGAATCACGTATTTATTCTTGTGAAGGGGCCTTGGGCCGTTGATGAAATACATAAGTGATAAGGGCTTGGCCGCTCATATATCACTGATAGAATTTGACTAAGTGATGTATGTTCCAATGCCTAGGGACTTCGGTCCCATTGGGGCGTCTCGGTTTGTATGTTCCTGATTTGATGATGGCTGCGATGATGTATGGCCCTTCAAACTTTGATGCCATTTTTCCTCCTTCGGTGGGTTGGCTGGCCTCCCTCCTTCGCAGGACATAGTCTCCCACTTGAAATTCTCGAGAGCGGACCTTGGCGTCGATGTATCCCTTGGCTTGCCGTCTGTAGTTCTCCGCCCTTGGGAAGGCTTGCTCTCGGCGCTCTGAGATGAGATGAAGGTCGAGGGCCATGTTGGCGTCATTGGTCTCAGGCTCATATTGATCGACCCTTCGGGTAGGTAGGGTTACTTCAGTGGGGGCCTTGGCTTCGAACCCATAGCATAGGGAGAAGGGGGTCTCGCCTGTTGCTCGCCTAGGGGTGGTGCGGTAGGCCTATAGGATGTTGTGCAGTTCTTCTACCCAGCCTCCCCCTTCAGCTTCAAGTTTCTTTTTCAGACCCTCAAGCAAAGTCCGATTGGCGTTCTCCACTTGGCCGTTGCCCTGAGGGTAGGCAACTGAAGAGAATGTGTGTTTGATGCCCCATTCCTCTAGGAGGGCACAAAAGGGGGCTGCCTCAAACTGAGTTCCGTTGTTGGAAATGATTTGTTGGGGGACGCCAAACCTGGTGAGGATGTTTCTAAGAACAAAGTGGCGGCATCTGGCCTCGGTGATGCTGGCGAGGGGCTCGACTTCTACCCATTTGGTGAAGTAGTCGATGACCACAATGACGTACCTGTTGTTGGACGTACCCCTCGGCAGAGGGCCCACTAGGTCAATGCCCCATCTGGAGAAGGGTATGGTCGTGCTGATGGGGGCGTAGTTAATTGCCGGCCTGCCGGGGGCCTTCTGATAGTGTTGACATGCGGTGCACTTTCGGGCAAGGTTTGCACAATCCCGTGCCATTGTAAGACAGAAGTAGCCCTGTACTATGAGCCTTCGGGACATGGAGAAGGGTCCCTGGTGAGCTGAGCAAGTGCCACTGTGCACCGCCTCCATTGCAACCTCGGCCTCATTCTGATGAAGGCACCAAAGTAAGGTGCCATTGTAAGATATAAAAATAAAACAAGACTTTGAACTTGAAGTAGCACTTGAAGTATCACGATTTCACTAAAAACATCAAGCCCCCCTGCAAACAATTATGAGAAGTGTTAGCTAACAACAAAAAATATTTAACTACAATAATAATATTTAATAATAATAATAATAATATTTAACTACAATCATAGTTCAGTAATACTTCGCTTTTACTCTTGCATCTTGGTTTTATATGTTTGCTTTTAAGCAATGAACCAAGCACTCCATTAGGCTTCACAATATAAACGTAGTTATGACTTATGAGTCATTAGCTTAAGAAAGGAGATCCTATAGAAGGTGGCTATAGTTTTAAGACAGGACACATTTTGGGTGTGCAATATTTCCAACTGTATATATATTTTAATAATAACCGTATATATGAATGGAAAACGATTAGTCTCTTAGAACTCAGTTTTATTATCTTAAGAAAAGTCTGCAAAAAGAATGAAAAAAACTTTGAATTCTAATCTCACACATTACTGTGACATTTGGGTGCATAACTTGTTAACCTTGTTTCATGGAATCGATGTCACACTTAATCTTCAACCATAAAGATAAAAAAACACAATTATCAAATTGATTATTGAATAATATGAAAATGCATTCAGCAATATAATGTTTAAATATTACATGGCGCTTTATGATAGGAAAAACAACTATTTTAGTACTTACTCAGCTACTTTAATTTCCTAAAATCACCTCCGTGGTAATCATAGTCTAAGGATGTTTTTACTTGGACTGTAATTTGCTGGTCTGGTCTGGTCTGGTCTGGTCTGGTCTGGTAAGGTCTGGTTTCTTTGTATTTTTATAACTATTCAAGTCTGGTCTGATCTGGTCTGGACTGGTCTGGGACAAATTACAGTCCAAGTAAAAACATCCTAATTGTAGTTAAATAACTACAATTAATAACTGTAGTCCAAGTAAAAACTGCTTATATTTTCTGGATTAATAACTACTGCTTCTTTTGATTATGAAAAGAAAATGCAAGTTCTTTAATGTTGATCAATCTTCGCTTAAAAGAAGTTGGAGAAATTAAAATCTTAAGACGGAATTAACAAGCCAAATTAAAATAGAAATATTAAAAAAAAAGCTTAAACCCGTAATAGCGAATTTATCATTGATAGACCTGTACAAAACCGGGCCGGCCCGCCCACACAAATTAGCGGGCTTGGGCATATATATTTACCTACCGGCCCGGCCCGGCCCGGGCCCGGCCCGCAACAACATATGGGCGGACTTGGGTTAGGGTGTAGGCCCGTTTGGACCGATAAGCCCGGCCCGCTACATTTAGTATATATACATATATATTTTTATATATACTAATTTATGTATATTTTCATATTTACTAATTTATCTGTATACATATTTATAGTTTATTATGTTTAAATTTAAGTTCTTAGTTCTTAACAAATAGTCCAACCAATATAATATCTATTTTTGCACTTAAAGATAATAGTTTGTGCTTGAATTTTAAATTTTAGATATAGTTTCTCATTACTCCGTATTATTTTTGTGTAAATATTTTTTGTGTATGTGATGAAAGGCCTATATACATTATAAGCGTATTAGCAATTTTTTAAATGTTTTAATATTATTTATAAAGTATTAAATAAATTATATAATTTTGAAAAATTTAAAGTTTTACCGGGCCCGACGGCCCGGTGGACTACCCGGCCCGCTCTTACGGGCGGGTATGGACATGGGGTTAGGCCCGTTTTTTCGGGCCGAGCCGGGCCCGCCCACACACGACGGGCAGAAAACTTATGAAAAGCCCGAGCCCGGCCCGAGCCCGCTTTTGTAAAGGTCTAATCATTGATTCTAATGATTTAATCCATCCAAGTAACATTCCTTTATTTATAAGATTTGAATGAACTGATGCCATTGAAAGAAAGATAAAATGGAACCTGAGATATTTGGTGATCTCACCAACAACAATGAAGTTGAAACACTAAAATTAATGGACATTCGTTCGACTCTCAAGCTGTGCAACACCAATTCCCCTTGATTCTTATGGGATTTAAATCCTTCGAGTTACAAATATGATTTAATAGTATAGAATTTAGACGACTTGAAGAGAGATCAGGCAGAACATGTAATATATGGCGACATAAGCAGCAACTATGAAGTTGATCGAAACCCTAAGACGTGCATATCCGTTCAATCCTCAAGAGACGGAGCATCAATTTTGTATGGTAAAATATGGAGTTGATGGACTTTTACCTCAACATTTTGAACCAATGTGTAATCGTGTTAAGATATTGCGGCAGGGAGGGAGCTCCAATGATGTGCTTCTATCTCTGCTGGTAAAATATGTAGTTGATGCTTCTCTATGATTTGCCGATTTCTTGTTTCTCTCTTGCCATTTCTGCTGCTGTGGTTTGCTGATTTCTTTGCATTGTTTGGGAGAAATCGTGCATCACTTTTAACTAGCTAGTAAGCGATGCAAAAGAGTGAGGCGTCACATATTTATTGCAAAGCGACACATAAAGGTCTATTTGAGGTGCTTTTGGTTAGAATTTTTTGATACAATTTTGTAACTATATTTTTATTGAGTGTAGATTATGTACATTAAATTTCAATTTAAAATTCAATCGGAAAATCAACTAAATAATTATGTAAAAACATTTTGGCTCAATGTTTTTGAATAATACATTTAATTGACTTCCCGTAAAACATTATTTGCTAGAATCATCACCTAGAGCCTATGAATGTAAATTGTTCCAACTCTTTCTTGCTACCTCCCATCAGCTTCATCCATGATCTGCTCTGCCGCGCCGGACAGCCGTCCTAGACAAAACGTCCTCTAACCACTCACAGGCAGTGCAGCCAATACACATGCATCCTCACACCCTTGAACTGCTCATCTGCCATTGTCCCATACTCCCATCCCACGCCGCCGTTGTGATCGCCCGTCTTTTAGGAGGAGGTTAGGGAAACTCGGCCAAGGTGTCGACAGAGCCCTGCCATTAACCCTTGGAAAAGCCAGAGCTCAAAAGAGGAAGGATCGCCTAAAAAATTGAATACTAATCTCGTAAGAGAATGCGTACGTTCTACTCCCTCCGTCCCTAAATGTTGTTCCAATTGCGGATTACGAAGGTTGACTGACGATAAAGTTAAATGATCCCTGTGAAAACTCGGATTATTTTTAGTAAATAAAATTTACATAATCAGAAACTACATTAAACCCGCTATAAATCCTGCAAAAAATAATTCAACTTTTATAAAATTTTGATATAAAAAGTAAGAGTTTAAAAGTGATTTAAGTTGACTCTCGATAAGCGAAATGGAACTTCTTTTAGGGACAGAGGGAGTAGTTAATTGATATTTGTTCAAGTTATTTGTTGGTTAAATCCGACCCAATGGCTCATTTTCAATTTTTCAGTAGGTGGTCACACTCGCTCAGACTTGTTCTTTTTCCCCTTTTCCCGTGGATGGTAAAACCTGTTAAGACTTGGGGTTCCATCCTAAAAGATGGAAATGATAGGAGGAGTAACTCATAGTCTTATAAACGGGCCAAACAAACCCTTAACAAGCTACTTTTAATGCTGGGTACTAAATAAGCAGTCAAACCACATCCGGAATTGGCTCTAATATCATGTTAAGACTCGGGGTTCCATCCTAAAAGACCAACCTTATAGGAGGAGTAGTTTAAAACCTTATATAGTGTTTCATTGTTTTATAGTTTTCCAGCGTGGAACAAATGTTTTTAACAAAACCACATTTCTTCATTATTTGAGCAGAAATATCGAATCCGAATGTTCCGTGTGTATGTTTTATATTTCAAACCATTATCGTACTTTATTATTAATTAATATTTCCACGGATTAAGTTTGCTCTCCTGCAGAGTAAATAAAGAATAAGAAAGTCATAAGACAAAGTGGTGAAACTAGCTAGGAGCATTGACATACAATTACATGAAAAGTCATAAGAAAACTCTGTTTTTTTTCTTCCGTTTTCATTGTGCTAAATATTTCGCTATCAGTTCCTGCAATTAAATATTTTACTATGATATGCTAAGTACGAAGTATAGATTTTCTTATGTGCAAGGAGGAATGGATACTATAGTGAATTGTTGGCTAAAATAGAGAATTTTTCAGAGTTTACTATGCACCCAACATACAGTATATATGAACACGGGATTCTGATCTTAAAATCAATCATTACTGCTTGGAAACAAGTTGATCGAATTTGGAAAGTTGAGTAGAACCGCTCCTTTGGGAGAGGCTTCTCCAGAAGCCACCGCCGTAGAACTTCTCCCACATTTCCTTCTCCAACTCAATCGCATCTTTGTCCGACTCCGTCGGGGCCACCGCCGCCGTGGCAGAATAGTCGATTGGCAGCTCCGGCAGCGACGCACCCTTTTTCTTCAGCCCGCTCCGTCGCCTCCTCCTCAGAGCGTTCCGGCATAGCCCTGCGGGGACCCTGTAAAGCGCGTGGAAGAGGACGTTGACCAGGCAGCAGGGGATGCAGCAGCATACCGCCGCGCAATCTGCGGTGGTCCCTCCCGCCACCTCCGCGATCCGCACCTTCTTTAGCCGTCCACCCGCCAGCAGCGGTGGCCCTCGGAGCTTCCCCATCGGCCTGCCTTATGTTAACGTGCGCTGAAGATGGGGCATCAATAATCTCAATTGATTTTTGTGCAAAATAATACTAAATCAGAAGTTAGTTGGGATGAGATAAGAGATAATTTCGATCGATCTAGGGATGAAAGCCGAAGCAAGGGTCAGGGGAGATAGAGGAAGTTGGTGGTGAAGAAGAGAGGGAGGAGGATACGGTCTTCTCTGGCCGCGGAAGGGCGGCACGACAAAGTTTTGTGAGCATTATAATGCCATAAACTCCGCAATTGTAGGAATAGTATCTCAGTTTCTTTTCTTTTTTGTGTGTTTTGAGATAGAATGAATGAATTACCTAAGAACAAAACATGGTCAAAAATCACAAATAAGCTTAGAAAGCTGAAAATTCCTAAAATATGACCTTTTTGTATTATCACTACCTTTTTTAGATATACCAATGCCAAATTTTAGTAATTTTATTTCATCCATCCAACTTGGGAAATACATTGTAATATTATCTCCATCTCGAATTAAACTTCTCATTGAAAAGTGACGTATTTTGAAAAGTCTTCTAATGATGGTTGGATATTGTTAGTGGCGTGGGCGAAGGACTGGTTGTTGATGACGCGAGGTGGCATGTGGAAAGAAGATCAGCAATTGCAAAGAAGTGAGATAAACAGTTGAGAAGATGCGAAAGAAGATTGCAGTTGTGATAGAAGCAGCTATACGTTCGAATTATTTGCAGTTATATTTAAATAAAAGAAATTTTAATCTAATCATTTCTTAAGGCAAAACAAGTGAGTTTTATTCTCATTTTTTCTATATATTGGCTTGGGTTGTACATTTATTACTCACTAATTTAGTACAAGCGTTGCTAGTAAAAAGAAAAAAATGCACATTAAAAATAGTGAGTTTGTCTTGTTGATATTAATTTATAAAGTGAGAATAAAGTAAGAATGATTTAGTGTCACACAAACTTTACCAAATATGGTATAAGACAATTTTAGTGGGATTTTCCGAAAAAGTAAAGTGGGACAATATTAGCGGGACGGAGGGAGTATTTGTTAAATAAAAAGTAACAACTGTAGACTCCGAAGTCCTATTTGTCTAAGTTTTGGCCCTATTTGAAGTGACACCTTACTGAAAATTGTACTGAATAGTGTGATTTGTTAAAGTCAAAACCGATACAGAATGGTCTCTTTGAATCTGATATGATCCCAAACAATTTAATCTAGTATTTACGTTTTTTATTATTATCCAAGTCTTGTGAAATATATTAATATATCTATTATAAATTAATAAAGATGACCCTTTAATGAACTTAACCGGAAAAGACTTGTGATTTTCTCTTCTAGATGTTGCGTAAAAAATGTGCGCTCACATGTGATGACGACGAGGATCGGGGTGGGAATCAGTGATGAAATACTACGAATCGTCGTATCGAAGGTGCGCGAGTAGGGTTTCTGATGGGGCAGGCACATACGTAGCTAGGGTCACAGTTCAGAGTTTCGGTTGGTCAGGCAGTCATTGGGTGGCACCGGGGTGAGGCAGGGTGGGGCTATGGGCTAGGTGGCCAAGTGGGGCCGGGGAAGGGGTGGGGTGACTTAGTGGCGGACCCAGGAAACTTACCTTGGGGGGGCGTGAACTCAGTGGCGTCATATTCAGAAAAATTTATGTGTGGTGGTCAACTTACACTAGAACTTAGTCACATATATCACAAATAGCAAATACATTACTCCGTATTAATATTGTTTGATTACACTTAGTTTAACTTATAAATATACAATTATGTATAAAAAGATCCATTTATGTTACGTGTGTGCAAAGATATAATTATAGATAAAATTACCTAAATAGAAGTTGAACATAAAAAAAATTATTGAAATTTTTATCCTTTTATTTTGTTAATAGGATTACATAAATCCTATGTTTAGGTAAGAAAACACTCTTAATCATATTTTAGAATTTTTTCTATGTTTAACTCGAATTAAAAAATCACCATAGAATCAAGAGTGACTTGAAATGACAACTTGAAGGGAAGTATTCCTTCAAAGACCAAGGATATTATCGAGGAGTAGTTGCTCCAATATGATGAATACATAATTGATGCTCGTACTTTATTCCGGATAGACAAAGAATCATGTTGAGTCAAATGTAACCTAGGATTTGCTGGATGCATCTTTTGTACTCGGAAATTTTTATGTGACATGAAATTATGAGAAACAAGACCACAAATAATCATTTTTGTAATTTCTTATCATTACTTATTTCATTGACATTGACTGCCAATTTTCCTAAATCTAACACACCTGTACTTTCCTAAATGAGTAAATATACTTCTTAATTAGCTAATTTTTATGAGAAGATTGCTGTAAATAAGATTAAAGCATAGTCATATTCCCTAACTAGGAATACATGTTTTATTTTGTTTAAATATGACAAAACATTACATTTTTACCCTTAATATATAATCAATTGCGTACTAGTTCCCCCGGTATAACTAGGGCAATCAAGTGGTGGCAATAGTCCGACAGAGGTAGCAGGAACAACAGTTTGGAAACAGTCCGGCGGCGGCAAACGACGGAGGGATTCCCGTCGTCCAGTGGTTGATTTTTGACCACAAGTGGCAGCGGTCCATCAGTGGCAGCACTCGAACCCCTATAAGGGCATCCCCATCCATAGATTATTTTTGGAATCATTTTGATGATGTTGAGGATTTTTTTGGTATCATGGATGAGGAGTTGAGATTATTTTATGAGATTATTTGATAAAATAATCTGGTATCGAATTCTAAAGTTGTATTATTTTGAGATTATTCACAAAGTTTTAGACTCTTTCTCCCAAATCTAGGAACACAATTACGGTAATGCAAATTGCAAATTACTGGGAACGTTTCTTGCAATCATTGGGAATTGCAAATTGCATTTTAAATTTGAAATACAATTTACTCATAAAAATCTGAGCAAATAAAAATCATGGTTGAAAAGAAGTTGATAAATTTGAAGATTATTTGAGATTTTTCTATGTGGCAATGACATGGCAATAACTAATCATAAAAACCCTTAAATTTGAGGATCGTGGATGGAGATGCTTTAAGGATATTTTTATGCAATCACAAATAATAAATCCTCTTTATGGATTTTTAAACATTAATACATGTACGAAGTATATAAAATTCTACCATGTTTTTATCCTATTTGGGGAGTTCTCCCGATCTTTACATGCATCTAGTGAATTATGACAAATTATGACAAGACACACAAGTAGTCCGAAAAACCAAAAATTGAGATTACCATCCACATATTGTTGGTTCATAAAGAATCAAGAATAATGAGGGATGGCCCAAATAACTAACGCCCTAACAAATGTATTATTCATAAAGTTGTACGCTTCACCATTCACCAAGCAATGTAACACAACAAACTCTCTAGCCAGCTCTCCTTTTTTTGACAGGCTCAAAGTATCCTACATTTTCCATTTGACCCCCTCCCCCAGAAATGATCATTAACTTCCCTATCTAATGGAAAAGAAAAATATTAGGGACTCATGAAGGATATTAATGGTATTTTGCATTATATCATAAATGAGAGGAGTGTATGAGAAGGAAGGGGAAGTCATAGATTTTATGTGCAAAAAGTGTATATAAATACTAGGGAACCTGAATGCATGGAGATGAATAAAGTGAGAGTTCTTTTTAGGGTATAGATGCCAGATGCGGTTTGATAATAGCATTTGGCAAAACCTAATGAAGAAAGAAAGAAAAAAAAGAACAATGTCTGGTTAAATCATTTGTCCTGCTCTTTTTTATGTTTCTTGTGTTTAACTTCAAGCCTTTCCTCTTATTCTGATATATATTAACCATCATGTAAACTTTATATTGCAACAAAATCAAGCACAGAAAAATGGAGATTTCATTGAGAGCGGGATGCATGGCAGTTTTTGCAGTGTCGGGAAGCGTTGTTCTTCTTTCCCTCAAAGCCCACAAGCACCTCATGTCTGATTTCATGAACAAGATTGAATTTGAATTTGGTAACTCATGGATTCACTTGTCTTAGTTGGATACAATTGCTTTATATTTAGAATATAAAGGCATATGGTAGAGTTGTAATCTTGTAGACATGGTTTTGGTCTGGTTCCAGAACGAAATGGTCTATTTCTTCCCTCCATTTGATAGAGCCAAACTGACACCTTAAATAGCACCATCCTATACCAGAACCGTCAATTCAGTTCCTCATTTGATATAACTAGACCGGAACCTTAAATTACATGTTTTCAGTTTCGGGCCCGATTAAATCATGACATATGCTGTATCTTTTAGGTTAACCCGATTCGGGTCTTGGAATCGATGACAATCAATTTGATAGAACCTAACTAGAACCTTATAAATTATGCTTCCCAATATCAATTTGAGTCGCATTCCAAGTCACTCGGATAACGAACTTTAATACCCTAGTTATGATATACTCCATCCATCCCCTAAAACTTTATCATCTTTGAAATTTTTGGTCAATCATGTTCAACTTTAACCAATTATATACGTAGATTTTTATAGAAAATTATTTATAATATAAAAATGTTATGAAAATGTTCTTTTTTAAAAGTAATTTCATAAAAGTATAAAATTTTTAACTTCCATAATATTATACTAATGAAAATCATGGTTCAAACATTCTCGCCATTGACTTGTAAAGTCAAAGATGACAGGGTTTAAAGGACGTATAGCTTTATTATCTTAAAAGTCAAAACTTATTAATATAAGAGACTTAGAGAGTGAGAAGAGATGATTTTATTGATTGTAGAATGGTTACATATATATAGTTTATGAATAGCTAATTAAGGTAACTAAATATTTAGTATAATTACAAATGATATCTTGAATATAATCTGCAGAATATTTGGTAATAAGAACAGATTGCTTCCCTTCTATAAATCTACAGAATTAATAGTTATAAGGAAAGATTTACTTTCCTTCTACAATTAATACGTTAATGAATATATTATGTTTATTCATAGTGAGATTTATTAATTTGCAAACTGAGATGACTCACTGTTGATACATAGTAGGGATAGTGAAAGGTGAAAATGAGAAAAAGGTGAGGTTTTTAGAGGAAGCGGAGGTATTGCCGTCGATTGGCCATGATGACCATTACCCGGAGAAGGAGAAGAAGAAGCAAGCATCACCGTCAACCAATCTGAGGAGAGGGGTGGTCGATGATGAGAAGAGGTTCAAGTCAATGCCTGAAAATTGGCAAGCCCTTTACAGAGGGATTATTCAATTTAGGTCTCTCAAACGGCACAATGTGTGACTTCTGAAATTCTGATTTACATGCTCATGTAAATAAAGTTGCTGTTGTAGTACTTTCTTTGATACTACTGTATAATCTAGTTGCAGAATATACCAATGTGGGTTCAACATGCCAATTTTGTATATTACTAGTTGATAGGTTTGGTTGTGAAATTGAACTGTATATATATATATAACTAATATAAGTCTCTTGACTCTTCATTTATGCACGGCCAGTCATGCTTATATTTATTTTTGGTACATTCCTTGTGAGAAACAGGGATTCGCTTAATTTAAAAAAAAAAAATACTCCACAGTTGAATTCTAAAAAAATTGATCGGGTAAGGTATTTTATGATAAGAGATGTACTCATGTATTGAATTCTAAAAAAAACTTAAAAAAAACTATCGTCAAGCCACCTTCTCAGGCAGAAATTTACAATTTATGATAAGAGATGTACTCATGTATTGGGATACTTTTAAATTTTATTTGTACTTACATTATCTCAAAAGAAAGAAAACACATAACACATAGAAACAAGAGTATAATGTGACTATTATCTTAATCACCTCGAGGGTGGGCAGAATAGTAGAGAATTTGAAGTGATTATGAGGGTGATCTTAGAAGATGAAGCAGTTTGAAGTTGAACTGTGATCCTTCGCTGCTGCTCCGTGCAGCCATGTCTGGTGCACATACATGCATTTGGAACCTTGTGCATCATTCAGATCCTGAGAGAGAGAGAGAACATATACGCTTTTAAATAATGCAGAATTACATGAAACACAATCTTGTGTTAGGATCTGCTACCAAATGCTAGAGGCAATCTACCTTTGAGCATAGCAGAATTGTGGTCAAGCGACATTGCCTTTCTTCACCTAAACAAGAGCGATCCCTTTGTTACTATAGTATACAAGAAGAATAGTGGCATTGGATTTAAAAGCATCACCACCACAGCAATCCCAGATATGGTAGGCTTTGTGGTATGAAGCTTATGATGTTAAAAGTTAAAGCACTCTCATAAGTCATTAATCTCATGTAGTCTACATGTACTAAATTTGTTCGTTAGTTTAACTTAACTTAAAATAGTTAACTTGTACATACATTCTCTTTTGGAAAATTATATGAAAAATTAGCTACTGTCGATCAAACATGACTCCATTTGTGAGGCAAATAAAAATTTTTAACTAATATTCTGTATGATTGCAGTAAAGTAGCTTGGTGTGGGCCATGTTTTCCGGGGGAAATGGGTGCCTGCCTGCCTGCCTGGATAATAAGTAGTTCTAGTGTAATGTTTGATCAACTACAATAGAAAACATAAAACTGTTCCAACAAAATAACTTTGCGCTTTCAAGAAGGGAATTCATTTTCCACAAAAGTTCAAAGGACCGCGTTAAATATTTCCGTGTTTTAGCAAGATACAGGAAAATTAATTTCTTGTACAAAACAGGGAACATCCGGTAGACATTTACTTCGAAAATGATTTCCTCGAAACAAACGGAGACTTAGACACTTTTTGGAGATGGATGGAATGAAAGCAAGAATTCTCAGAAGTCTATGTGGGCACAACTCAATGTGCCCACACCACCAAATGTGAAAACAAAGTCATGTAATCCATGTGAGTCCTTTGTGAACTTAATATGAGCGACATGACTTCATTTCCAAGTTTGATAGTTCAGAGACATTAAAGTGTGCCAGCAAATGCTCCTTAGAAGGTCTTGGAGTACTTGTCTAAAATTAAATACTATAAACTCAAGGAAAACTTATTTGAACATTAATATGTTTTTTCGTTAATGTTTTGGCCTAATTTAATATGTTAACTTGTTTTTTATTTAATTTTTTGGGCCTAACTTAGTATGTATTTTAAGTTAGTTTTGAAAAAGGCCTAAGAATTAGAGATGCATAATAATAAAAAATTATAACTTGTCTAGAAATTGATGGTTCTAGAATTTTCTTATCTTTAATGAGACTATGAGAGGTCTGGGAAAGGGGCACGAAATAAAGCAGACACAGGAAGCAATGAACATTGTTCAATGACAAAACCTAAGATGATAGATTGTGAATGCAGTAAAAGGGACAGTGGTGTATAGTGAAGGAAACGGTGGTGTGCAGTGAAGGCAGTGTATGTCAAACAGTGGCAAGAAGCAATGAACTGTGATAGGAGAAGGGTCTGAAGGACGTGGAGGTGTGAACGAAAAGTTGATTACAGTGGCAACAAAGGAGGCATTGTTGTGTACTTTGGCACTGGATGCACCGGACAGTGCAGACAGTTACGGTGTGCAGTGAATGAAGGGGTGAAGCAGTGGAGTTGTGAAAGCTCCAAGGGAGAAAGTTGGTCGCCTGGTCGGTGGTGGTGGACATTGAAAACTACATTTGTTATATGAAAAAAGAAATCCACCATCAAATTAGCAATCAAATCTTCCTATCTCATTTATTAAAATATTTTCACTTTTGGTTTCTAACCCCTAAAACTAAAATGAGGGTATTTTGGTCTTCTTCATATAATTAACTACAAACTGATATGGTCATAGACTGAGAAAGCATGCATCTTATAATCACATATAAGTAGAAACCCAAGGTTACCCAAAGTTCTTTATCTTCTGTTGAATCCTCAATAGGGGAAAGTGAAAGGTAGAATGCAATCTCATGCTTAAGGCAAAGAAAACTTACCAGAGATCTCCCACCTCTTGAACCTCACTAACCATGAATCTGAACCAACCTGCATAGGTATAACTTGATCCACCCAAATGCGGAAATGTTTCCCTCGTTTGTCCCCATAAGATGCCCTTAACGAATCTATACAGTCCTCAAGAGATTTCTCAACACCTGATGGGTGGACAAAAATGCCAGATGAACGCTGCAAAACTTAAAGGCTAGAAGGTAAGCTTTGACATAATAGGAAAAGTGGAAATAGGAATGAAAAATGTAAATTAATAACATACACAAAAATCTTTTATCGTTGCCAAATTAGCCTCTGAGTTCTCAGTTTCCCCACGCCTCCATTTCTCCATAAACAAAAACAGTTCCACAATTTCATAAGCTGGGCTGGATATCTCATTAGAATCTGTCACACCCGTAACATCTCTAGGAGACTTATTAGGGCCCAAATTGAAATGGCCAATGGCTTGTATGATACCTGCTGCACACCTCTCAGTTGCATGGAGTATTTTTGGATTACCTTTGGCATTTGCAGCATGCCATTGCAGCAACTCCTCCTGGGCATTAGCAACCTGCCAATAAAAAACATGATATCTATGTGACTGTTTGATACACGGTAAATGACAGGGAAAGATAATACAGATGAAATGGAAAGGAAATATGGAAGGAAAGATGATGTGGGAGGGATAAAGAATTGCTTCAAGCTCAATGTATCAATTTTACATATCTGTTCAAAAATTCAAATTCATTATACTTAAATACTTATATCATAGAAAGACTAAGATATCAAATTACATAAAAATAATTCAAATGTTCTTATCAAATTTGATTTTCCAAGATCAAGCCAGACATACAAAAACTAATTCCTTATGGCATGTTGGGATAGAGGGTTTGGAGTGTAAGCATGTGTTCTGATAAATAAAAGAGCTTATATCAATCTTTCACCAAATCAGATGTGCCATAAGATGTTTTTAATTGAGCTTATGTCAATCTTTCATCAAATCAGAGCACACCAGACATAGACAATAGTAAAATACACATATCATAGACCTTTATCAAACCATACTTATTCACTTTAAAAGATCACACCAGACCATAAAATTTCAATACAAGTGAAAACATCCTTAAAAGGAATAAACGCCTAAAAGGTGATTGAGAAGTTATAATATCACATATCATGTTGACCTTTCAATTTTTAAGAAATTGCAAATATATTTCAAGGTATAGAATGAGCCCTTCAAAGCCTTTCCGCCAAAACTCCTCCAAACCCTGTCACCCAAACAGATCCTTAATATTTTTCCACAACCACCTTCTGAGTCCAGGCATAGCCTAAAATCGAATTAAACTTAAAAGAGTTGTCCTAACATCATGATTACAAACAAAACCACATAGTAATATATGAAGAGAAATGTTTACCATCACTCCATACACATCTGGAATACTAAACAGTTCAGCATCATTTCCAGAATCACCACAGGCAAGAGTGTTTTTGGGGAGTTGATCCTCACTTTTCAGTTTCTTAAGCAAATATGCCATAGCCTGACCTTTGCCAGCACCTTGTGGCAAAATATCCAAGTCCATCCCTCCACTATAAATTATCTTCACATCCAACTGAGGATCATAAAACAGTGGAATATGTCAAAGCAGTTTCAAATTATGACGTCAATGGCATGTAAAAATTTTGCATTTGAAGCAGCATGAAAGAATATACATCAAGGATTCATTTGGAACTCCGAAAATGCTATGAAAAAAATATACTGGAAATTCGGAAGAAAACAAAATATGAGGGGGGGATTCAAACTCAACATATCAATTTTGATATTTGTTCAAACTCATTTTATTCAAATATTTCTTTGATTTAAAAATCAAAAGGTCTAAATATATTTAAAACATTGAAAAGTTCTAATCTCATTTTCCTGTAACATTTTCCAAGGCAAACCTACACATCAAAGAACCATTTTCCATATCATTTTCGTATTTTCCAAACATGGCCTTATTGCAATTGTGATAAAAAACAAAAACAACTGTTCAACTATGAAAGAAGTAGTGAAGTAAGTATTTTTCATACCCCACGCTCAGCTAAACGCGTGGAAAGAGCTCTTGTGATTTCTTGAGCCTTATCCTTCTGAACGTAAAAGCTAACCTTGTGCGGACGTTGCTCTGTTTCTGACTGGAAGGAATGAAAAACTTAGTTACTTTTTATATATGAAGTAAATAAAAATGGTAGAAATGAAATGAAATACATCAACATATTAGTGTACCTGGAGTTTCAATTCAGAAAACTTGCTCGTCTCCTCAGTTATTATGCTTCTGTCCCATTTGTGGTTCAAACATTCTTCCCAACCATTGTCTGGCACCATTGAGTTGCCATACGTTATTTCAGTTCCCACAGACAAAATGGTGATATCTGGAGTAAGCATCGGCTTTTCTTTCCTCAACTCTTTGTAAAGTGTAGGCGACCTCCCAGTTGAAAACACGAGCAAAGAGTTATTGCGATAATTGGCTTCCCATAAGGCATTAAACCT